TGTTTTCTCTGTTCTTTAACGTTCTGTTGACCTGTTCTCCACTCTGTGAACACTGTCTTCAGATGTGTCTAATCTCTTCAGTGTTTCATTTCAGTGATTGTATTTTCAGTTCTAAAATTTCCATTTGATTCTTTTTTATAGTTTCAAATCCTCTTGCAAAATTCTCCATTTTCGCTTTATTTTCTCCATCCTTTCCTCTCTTATTTTGAACATATAAGTCATGATTATTTTAAAGTGCTCGTTTGATAAGTCCTAGATCTGGATCATATGTAGGTTTGTTTCTTTTTACCTTTCTTTCCCAATTTGTTTTGAGGCATAGAGCCCCGTCTTTTTTCATGACTTGTGAGTTTTGATTGGTCTCAGAAGTTGCTGCGAATACATATGCGAGGCTCCAGATGGCTCAGGTTTTCTCTTCCAGGCAGGTGGAGTGAGGGTCATCCCTCGTTCAGCCCCGAGCTGAGCCAGGGCTGGCTGCAGTGTGATGAGGTGCAGCCCACCTGTGGCTCTGCCCTGCTTGTAGGTTCTGTGCCCTTCAGGGCTTTCAAATCAGACCCTGGCATGATTGCTGTGGCCCCTCCTCCCAGTGGACCCAGAACTCTAACCTCCGACTCCTTGGCACCTGAGACCGTGGAAGACTTCTCTTTGATTTCCAGAGGCTTCCTACTTGAGTTTTAAACTTCCGCCCCTCATGCCTTCGGAGTTAGGCAGATGTTTTAAGGGGAGAACTGACCATTTGTTCGGCTTAAGTCTCTGCTTCTTTCTCCTGGGATCTTGAGCTCTCAAGTTTTGTTTTTCTCGACCAAAAAGCTCTGCAGGTTCTCCATCCCTCAGCAACGGCTTTCTGCCTGGGAAAACTCTAGATTCCCGGCCCCGAGCCCGTGACCAGAATGCAAAACGCTCAGGGAGAAAGTGCTGGGGAAAGTCCTCCCCTGCCCTGGTAGCCCCATCTCTGGAATCTTGGCCTGCCTGTCTGCGTGGCTTCTGTAGCTCTTAGACCTTCAAACAGATTTAAAAATTGTATGCAGCTCTTCTAGCTGTGCACGGAGGGGAGCCGTTCCGCCATCTGGACGCACGAGTCCTCCTTTGTTTTTCATGCTTGGCGTCAATGCATACTTTCTCTCCAGAGCCATAAGCAGAGTCTCCTATATGTTCTTGTAACACTTTCCAAAATAAAGTTCTAGCTCTATTTTTCAACATGGGATAGCCAGTTGTCCGATACCAATCTCACCCAATCCCTGCAATGCTGCTTTATCATATGTTGGCTTTGTCTGTGTGTGTGTGTGTCTGTCTGTCTGTGGCCAAGCTTCATCTTTTCCATTGATATCTCTGTTCTTGTGTCACTACTAGACTTTGTAAATTATTGTAGCTTTAGGGTAAATACGATAGCTGGCAGGGGATGCACCCCCTCTTTGTTCTTATTTTTCAAAACTCTCTTCCAAATACTTGCCAAATTCCACTGAAAATCCTGCTGGAACATTTTGTTTACTGGAATTGCGCTGAATTAATATAGCTAAGTCTGAGGAGGACTGAACATTTTGCAATGTCAAATTGAACATCTTTCATAAATATTTCCTCGTTTCTAATTATTACCTATTTCGCCACTTGGGAATCACTTATTCAAAGGATACGGCCTTTATTTTTAAGGCATGAGGCCCATTGCTAAAGGCTTGCTAGAAATCTCACCCCAGTTTGCATTCTCACCAAGAATTCATGACCTTGTTCCTACTCTTCCCACTCCAGCCAGCATGTCCTAAGGCTTTTCTCAGTTTAGAAAGGGCAAAGATTTTCCAGCACAAGGAAACGTGGATTCTCAGAAAGGCGCGTCCTCCAGTCCACCCTGAACGGTCATTCATGGATGTAAGAAGGTGAAACAGTGTTGGAAAAAACGTTCCTGGTGTGTAGATGAGGGCGCACTTGGTCTGTGAGGGGCTGTGGGGTGGAGCTGGGCGTGATTCCAGCCCCTGAATTCTGCTCCACCCACCTGGGCTTTTGCTCGTGTCCTGGACCCGTTGGCTCTCAGCTGTTGGCTGGCCTGGCAGTTCCCTCTCTCCCTGTAGCCTCTGGAAGAGCTGTGTTGCCTGAGGGGACGGTCCTGCTCCGTGCCCAGCCTGCTCTGGGGAGTTCTGGGGAGCCTAGGAGCTGGCCCTGGGACTTTACAGCATTGACCTCAGCCCTGGCCATGCCCTCCCCCATCTGTAGAGAGAGGGTCCCCAGGGTCTCTGCAGGCCCCTCCTGCTCTTGGTCCTGGGGTCCATGTACAGAGGTCCCTGCCCCATTCTAGAAGGGGGTCTTTGGGCCAGATTCTCCTGAGGGTGTCAATTACAGGCAGGGAGACTGAGGCAGAAGGTTCCCTTTTCAGAAGGGGAGATGTCATGAAACCTCAGTGTTCCATGGAATCACCTCCCGGCTCACCCGAGTCTCGTGGGCACTGCTCTGTCCATTCATCTTGGGCCCGTGGGCTTCCAGCCCAGGGAGGGACAGCCCTCTCGAGCCGGCACAGACCTGGCATGGAGCCTGCCCGGGGCCTGCGTCCTTGGGAGGTGGGGGGGGTGCCTCCTCCGTGTGAGTGTGACCTTCAAGTGGACGTGAGGGTCAGCTTCACATTCACACCTGGGTGGTGGCCAAGCAGGCCCAGGGAGCGGCAGCCGCGTGCAGAGGCTCACTCCGTGGTGGCCAGACAGTGGCCGCGCCCTTGCCCTCCTTCCTCAGGCATTTGCCCCGAGCCTGGCCACACCGTGGGTTCCCTCTTGGCTTTCCCCTTTTGTTTGTTCTTAAAATTTTTCCAAAGTAACATATGGAGACGTGGCATCCAGGTCCATCAGGGCTGCGAGTCTCCACGGGAGCAGCAGCCCCGCTAGGGCCTCACCCTCCACAGTCCGTTTTTGGTTTTGTCTGATCCGTTTAGATCCCACTGGGACAGAGTCAGCTTTTCTGCCCCATCGCACTGCTAACGACCCCACCACATGCAACGCCTCTCCCTGTCTTCCTGCTGTGTTTCCTGTGTGTTGGTTAGTATTTTGTGTTTACACCAGCAGAACGAGTGGACATTCTTTCCTGCTGCTCTGAGGAGTGCACTCTGCTTATATTCTCTTTCTTGAAGAACATGGTGTCAGGAATGAGTGATAACGTAATGCCTGGGGTCATCACTGATCTCTCCTCAAACCCTCTGGTGGATGCTTCTCCGCGTAGGGAGACCACCTCCCACCTCGCAGTCCCGTCTTCTTCCTGGCTGGGTCCCCTCCATTGCCCTCCGATGAGGGACGTCCCCCCCTTGAGGCAGCCCCAGGGTCCTGCTGGGACCCCTTCACCATCCTCCAGGCTGGGCCCGCACCCACGTCTGCCCCACCAGCCACCTACCTGCTGGAGCACAGGTTCTAGCCTCCTGCAGAGTCTTCCTGGGTCTTCCTCTCACCCTCCCTCCCAGTTGTGATTGGCTGAGCTCAGAGTTCTGGGCCGAAAGTCGCCGTTCCTCAGCACTTGGAAAGTGTTTCTGCATCTGGTATCCCTGAGATGCTGGTGCCATTCTGAGTCTCCATCCTTTCTCTCTGGAAGCTTCTGGAATCTTCCCTTTAGCCCTGAGATTTCACAGTTTGCTGTGGTTTCTGACCTTTTATAGCAGGTGGGGTAGGTAGACCCTTTGAATTTGGAGACTCATGACTGGCTGTGCTGGGAAGTTTTCTTGAATTATTTCTTTAGTAGCTTCTTTTCATTGATCCCCAAATTTCATTTCTCTCCTCACACAGAAAATTACTTAATTGTATTTCCAACCTTTTTATTTACTTCTGAAGGTCCTGTTTTCGTAGTCTTAATTTCCAAGGACTCTTTCTTATTCATTAAATGGTCCTTTGAAAAAAAGCTACTTCACTTGCTCGTGGGTGAGTAAATTTCCTTTCTGAGGATATTAATTACAAGGTGTTGAAACATTTTTGTTCTTCTCTTCCTGCTTTGTCTCTTTCTGCTGTGCTCCTTTTCTGTTTGCTTTAGTCTCTGTATTGCTTGCTAGAGGCTGTGGTCCTGTTTCCCCAGCAGAGGACCCTGCCCTCTTCCCTGGCAGCCAGCAGGTGGGGGCCCTGCAGCAGGAGGAGGAGGCTGGGGTCCCCCACTACTGGGCATCTTCACTGGGCTTTTCACACCCACCTTCAGCTGGTCCTCAGAACTCCAGGCTGGACCAAGCCTCACTCTCCCAGAGGGTAGCCTCTGGCCTCCTGCCTGATGGTGGCATGGGGTGGGGGGGCAGGTCCTGGATATTCACCGGGTGGGGATGGTGGTCTCGGGGTCTTCATTACTCTGCTGGGGCTGCCATAACAAAGTACCACAGACTGAGGGCTTAGACAACAGAAGTGTATTGTCTCACAGTCTGGAGGCTGGAAGTCCCAGATGTGCAGGGTGGTTCCCTCCAAGGCCGTGGGGGAGAACCGCTGCCTGCCTCTCTCCTGCCTTTTGGCGGTTTACCCCCAGTCCTTGGCTTGTAGACCTCTGTCTTTGTCTTCACGTGGTGCTCTCCGTGTGCGTCTCCTTTATAAGGATGCTGGTCACCCTGGGCAGGGCCCACCTCACTCCAGTGGGACCTCATCTTAACCAGTTACAGTGCCAGGACCCCGTCCCCAAATAAGGTCACGTTCTGAGGTCCTGGGGTTTAGGACTCAGCATGTGAATTTTCAAGGGATACAATTTAACCCATGACATGGCCTGACCCTCCCTCTGCTAACTTTCCACAAACACCTGTTTTCGGTCCCACCCAGCCGCTGACCTTCAGAGGCACCTGGAGTCTTTCCGGGTCCCAGAGAGCGAATCGGCTGTTTCTGGTTAGGCTCCAGCTTTCCTAGGCTCCTCTCATCCCGTTGGCGTTCTTTCCTAAAACTCGCGGCATTTCTCACCCGCAGCTGCCCTGCTCCGTTCCTCTTCCTGTGGACTGGTTATCCGAGCAGGTGTCACAGCCGGAAACATCTGCGCTGCCCTTGTGGATATTGTTTCTAACTCGCGTCTCCCTTTTTCCCAAGGTGTCTCCTGTGCCCGCTGGGGCTCCCGCCGCCACTAGGAGTGACCCACAAAGTCCGCAGAGATGGCTGGGGCCTCGGTGAAGGTGGCGGTGCGCGTCCGCCCCTTCAATTCCCGAGAAATGAGCCGCGACTCCAAGTGCATCATCCAGATGTCCGGAAGCACCACCAGTGAGTATCGCGGCTGCTGGGCCCTCGGGGCCGCCGTGGCTGCTGGGCCCTCAGGGCCGTGGCTGCTGGGCCTTCGGGGCCCTGGCTCCCTCCTGGTCCACCCGGGGTGTCGGTCTCCTGGGACTGCAGTAACAAATGACCACAAACTGGGTGGCTTAAAACAACGGAAATTTATCCTCTCGTGGTTGTGGAGGCCAGAGTTCAAAACCGAGGTGTTGACAGGGCCACACTCCTGGAGGAAGATCCTTCCTGCCTCTTGTGGCTTTTCCAGTTGTGGCCGCCAGGTTGGCCTGCGGCCGCATCACCCCAAGCTCTGCTGTCATCACGTGGCTTCTTCCCTGCATGTCTGCGTCTTTGTGTGACCTGATGACCATGGGACGTACCCTAATCCAGTGTGACCTCATTTCAACAACTGACTACATCTTCAAAGGCCCTGTTTCTCACGTTCTGAGGTTCGGGGCAGACAGGAGTTCTGGTGGGGCCGCTTTTCAACCCAGGGCACAAGGTTCCTGATTTCTTGTCTTGTTTCAGCTGCGTTTTACTTTGTCTGCTCTTCTGTTTTGTTTCTAATTGTAAGTCATCTTAAGCCTTTCTGAGAAGTAGGAGGCCTGGGGTCAACAGGGTGAACAGGGAGTAGGAAGAGACAGAATGGCAATTTCGAGAAGGTCAGAAGGACAGGCATGGCCTCCAGGGCCCCTCTAGTGCGCAGGACCCGGCTGCCGGAGCCGCAGAGAGGACTTAGCCCCGAGCCTCCCCTTTTGCTCTTTCTGATGCCACAGACTTTGTCCTGAGTTGGGGCACGTTTGCAGAAGAGTGGACAGAGCCCAGTGTGCAGCTCAAGGAGTTCTCAGCAGCGCCCCGCTGCTGAGAACAGAGCGATGTCGGCACCCGGAAGCCCCCCTCCCCGGCCCCACCCACCCTTACCCACAGGGGAGCCGGCATCCTTGCTTCTAACACTAGGTTAGAGGCTTGTTTGGGGTCCCCTGGAAGTCAAACCAGTGTTTGGCATCTCCTGCTGGTCAAGAGCCCACCTCCACGCTCGGTGACTTAGAGCAAGAATTCGCCGTCCTCTCTCCCAGCTGTGGGTTTGGCAGGGCTTAGCCGGGAGGTTTGCACCTGGAGCTGCTGCCGTCACCGCAGGCTCCCGTGGTGCGCCTGCACCTGAGTAACCCCACCCCTTCTGTTATCCACCGGGTTGGAGGGAGGGGCTGCCCCAGGGGAAGGGCGCTCAGGGCTGATGGCGGCTGCCGCCCTAGGCCTGTTCTGGGGCTGAGGCTTCGGGCGTGGCTGGGGGTCTCTGCAGGAGGCCCTGGAGCAGGTTGTGGAGGCCCCACTCAGAGCCTGTGGGGGGTCTGTTGGGCATATCTGGGGGCTCATAGTGACTCTGTGAGTGGTGCTGCCTCTGCTTGGTCCCTGGAAGCAGAACTGAGGTGAGGATTTGGGTGCCAAGAGCTTATGTGGGAGGTGGTCCCTGGATGCACTGCGGGGGTGCAGAAGCTGCGAAGCAGCAGGTGAGCAGGTGGCCGCCACGGGCAGCGGGGGCTCAGCTCGCTGGGACCCTCTGAATACAGAGTGCACCTCTGGGCTGTCCTCCCCAGGAAGCTGGGGGTCTTGTTCAGCTGCTGCCCAACGCGGGCGGAGGGTCCGTTCAGGTCCTGGCTTTCTTGTATCTCCAGCCTGGCCCCCTCGAGGCTGGAGAAAGTGCTCAGGAGGTGTGACTCAAGCCTTAAGGTGGGAAGCCAGGGACTGTGACCGCAGGTGGGAGCGTGACCCTGGGTGGGCAGGCGGCATCTGCACGAGGAGCTGATAGGGTTGCGGCCACATCGCTGTTGGGTGACCCAGGACATCAGGAATGGCTGTGAGAATCCCTGTCCATGCTGGGTCAGGCCCCAGCAGCATAGTTGCCACCTTAGACATTAGCTGGGGGTCTCGGCTTGAGGGGCTCACAGGTGACCAAACCCTACGGGAACCTGTAGAATGGACAGAAAGAACAAAGGATCAGAGGCAGACCCTGTGTCTCCCCTGGAACTTGGGGGCGGTCCAGGACAGGGTGGGGCAGGTGTCACAGAAGCAAAGAGCTGGAGATGATGGCGGGCTGCACTCAGGGGAACTTCTGATCCATCTGGGGCCTGAGAGACAGAGAGAGACAGAGACGGAGAGAGAGAGAGACAGAGACAGACAGAGACAGAGACAGAGAGAGAGATAGAGACAAACAGAGATAGAGACAGAGAGAGAGAGACAGAGAGAGAGACAGAGACAGAGACAGAGAGACAGAGATAGAGACAGAGAGAGAGATAGAGACAGACAGAGACAGAGACAGAGAGAGAGATAGAGAGACAGAGACAGAGAGAGAGACAGAGACAGAGATAGAGAGACAGAGAGAGAGATAGAGAGAGAGAGACAGAGATACAGAGAGAGAGATAGAGATAGACAGAGAGATAGAGAGAGAGACAGACAGAGGCAGAGAGAGAGATAGAGGGAGACAGAGTTAGAGACAGAGACAGAGACAGAGAGAAAGACCAGAGAGAGAGAGAGACAGAGAGAGAAACAGAGATAGAGAGAGAGAGACAGAAAGAAATAAAGAGAGAGACAGAAAGACAGAGAGAGAGATAGAGAGACAGAAAGACAGAGACAGAGAGAATGACAGAGACAGAGAGAGACAGAGACAAAGAGAGACAGAGAGAGACAGACAGACACAGAGAGAGAGGCAGCCCCCAGCACAGGGAAGCCTGCCTGAGGAGTGGCGTCGGAGGGCGGGGTGAGCTCTATTCCGGGAGGTCCTGGGCCAGGGGCTAGGGCGGGGCAGGCGGCTCCAGAGCCGGCCGGAGGCAGAGGCTCACAGGAGCTGGGTTTGGGCAGCAGCTCACGGTCGTTTTGTCAGGGTAGGAGCTGATCTGCCAGGCCTGTCAGCGGGGGCGGTGACATACTCCTTGAATCTCAAAACGAGGGGCACAGCAGGAGACCCCAGTTCTTGGAACGTGCCACCCGGAATCTCCACTGTGACACAGAAATTAGAACGCTTAAAAGTCGTTTAAGTTCTTATCCTGTAATCATGGCCTCGATAACAGCGCTCTTCATCTGAAACACAGCAAATCTAGCAGTTCTATGAGCCAACCAAATTGTATGTGATGTGTGCTTCTGTCCCTACAGCTGGGACCCTATTTCCAAATAAGGTCACTGTCTGAGGTTCCGGGAGAACACTGTTCAACCCAGGACAGTGCCTGGAGGGGAGGGACCCGCCCAAAACCACAGGGTGATGTCTTCAGGGCCGGGCCCCCAGCCTTCCAACTGGACCCTGGCAAGCTGGGCCCAGTGTGTGCTTTCAGGGAATGGACCACCATTCTGGAAGGTCCACCGGGACCCTACTGACCAGCAGCCCCCATGCGGTCTCAAAACCTAACCCATCCGAGAAGTCGGCCCCATTTGCCATCACTATTCTAGAATGTTCTGGGCTCCAAATACAGTGAGACTGGGCCTGGGAGTCCACAGCAGGCAGCTTGGTTTTGCCAGGAGGTGGTGACGCGGTGCAGGCCTTTCTGTTAGCGGAACGGCTCCACACACGTGGTGTCAAAGGACGGACCCCGGGGGCCAGCAGAGTCCTGGTCAGCAGCCTTGGCCGACGGTGCTGGGGGCCTGCCGCCACTGGCTGGCCCCAGGCCAAGATGCCCCTGTACTCCCTGCCTTGAGCTGCCTCTCCCCGGGGGCCACCCGTGAGAGTCGCGACGGGCTCTCCACTTGCAGGGTTAGGGTTGGGGTTAGGGCTGCCTGCGCCCCTCAGGGTTAGGGTTAGGGTCAGGGTCAGGGTCAGGGTCAGGGTTAGGGTTAGGGCTGCCTGAGCCCCTCAGGGTTAGGGTTAGGGTTAGGGTTAGGGTTAGGGTTGGGGTTAGGGCTGCCTGAGCCCCTCAGGGCTGAGGTGCTCCCACGGCCCAGGTGGGGAAACGAGGCCTGGTGGGGTCAGGTCAGCACACATCGCTGAGCTCCAGCCTGCGCCAGGCTCCACTCCTGGCATCGGGCCCCACGGAGCAGGGCAGAGGCTCTCACTGCCCTGGGGGTGACGTTCCAGTGGGGACACGGAGATGGAACTAGACGGGCCGGTGACAAGGGCCACAGATCGCAGTCAGGCAGGCAGTGACGGGCGTGGGGGGCCTTGCCGGGGGCGTGGAGCGTGGGGGCCAAGTCAGGTCAGTGGGAGGAGCCGTCGCTGAGGGTTCATGAGGACCGGCACGGCCCCGTGTTGAGAACGTCCCCGAGACTGACCCGTGGAATTCCGCAGAGCTGGGCCACGGCTCCCAGAAGGGCGGGCGCCGCACGCGGCTGTGGGGTTTCAGGCTCTGAGGACACGGCTTCCCTTGCTTAGCTGCTCCCGCCCCCTGTTCAAGCTGGGCCCTCCCAGCTGTCGCCTTTGTCCTCTGTGCTCCTGCAGCAGGGGCAGAGGGCACGGAGCCCCCCGCTCAACAGCCCGCGGTCCCGTCCCCCTCCTCAAACCCACGGGAGGAAGCAACCCGAGAGCTGCCCGGGAAGCCCCTCGCCACCAAATCGCCTCAGTGCCGGCAGGGGGCTGCCGTCCAGGCCTAGTCCAGGCAGGTCGCCCTGGTGAGGGCTCCCAGGCGTCGGTGGAGAGCAGGCCTGGGGTGGAACCTGGGGAGCGCCATCCCCTCTGGAGCGCAGAACCCCATCTGTGATCACGGAGACACCACAGGACCCCCGCAGGACACCTGGGGGTCAGGACCAGGGCAGGGGTCAGAGCCACACCAGGGGACCCCGCCCAAGGGGGAGGGGGCAGGTGACAGCAGTTCCCGCGGGCCAGAGCAGCTCTGCCTGGTGGTCCCCACTGCGGACTCTCCTCGTGGCCCACTCCGCGTTCACTGACCCTCGCAGCCGGCTGTCCCCTGCCCACCCAGCGTTCCTTGAGCACATCCGTGCCCCGTCCCTGGTGGGGGGGTCGTCAGGGAGCTCCCGGTCCACACAGGGTATACAGCAGACGCCCCGGCACCAGGACACAGTCAGAGCAAGGTCAGCGGGGGGGCAGGTGTCGCAGCCCGCGAGCAGGAGTGGCTGGGTGGGGTGGGTGGAGGTGGGGCACTGGTGGGCGCCGTCGGGGGCCCTGCCCAGGTTGCCTGCGCTCCGGAGACGCCGTGACTGTCGTTCCCATGGCGCCGGCGTTACCGTGCTCGGGTTCTGGCGGCCGCATCCCCAGGTCCAGCAGGAGTTGAAACCGGGATGGCGAGGTCTCCTCTCAGCCTCACTCCTGGGGCCAGCATGGACGTGACCCCCTCTCGGCTCCAAAGAAAGGGCTGTGATGGTCAGTCACCTGCTCCCTCCTGCCGGCCTCCCGAGGGTGCCGGGTCATCTCCCAGAACCCATAAAGGCTGGGGTCTGGGACCCAGAGCCGGTCGGCTCCTGCCCGCCAAGCCGTGGCCCGGGGCAGCTACCGAGTGGGGTGAGGCTGTGGGAGTCCCAGCGTCCCAGGGCTCCGGAGCAGAGCACCGTGGACTGGACGGCTTAGATGGCAGCTCCTGAGGTGCTAAGTCCCCGATCAGGGTGTCGCCGGGTTGGTGCCTTCTGGGGTCCAGAGGGAGAATCCATTCCCTGCCTCTCCAGCCCCGAGTGGTTTTCTGGCAATGCCGGCATCCTCTGGCTTGCAGAAGCACCATCCCAGTCTCCCCCTCCCCCTTCACATGGCCTCCACGCTACGTGTGAGTCTGTGTCAAATTTCCCCTTTCATGAGACACCAGTCATGTTGGATTAGGGCCCACCTGACTCCAGTATAACCTCATCCTTACCAGTTACGTCTGCAAGTATGTAAATAAGGTCACATTCTGAGGTCCTGGGGGTTAGGACTCAACATGTGAATTTTGAGGGGTAGAATTCAACCTGCAACAGGGTCAGGGCTTGTTCCCTTGGTGTGAGTTACAGGTCACCCTGGACATGTGCTGGTGGGGAAGGGTGGGGTGTCCTGGAGTCCAGAGAGGCGAGGCCCCCAGCCCACTGCAGCTGGGGAAAGCCAGTCCAAGGGGTTGGCAGACACGTCTTTCATCTCCAAGTAGGTGGGGGAATGTGGCCCTCAGATGGGATGACGTGGAGCGGTGGCCTGGAGCCCTCTCCCACCAGGACAGCCCAAGTTCCTGGTGGAGGTGAAAACCCCCGGCCAGGTGGGCCCTCGGGGGTCCTCAGGGTCCTCTACCCACACAGACATCGGGGGTTCAGACAGCGTCCCAGAGGGCAGCCTGGCGGGCGCGGGGGCCGCAGCCCCTTCTGCCCAGCCACCGAAGACGTGCCGCCCGCTGGGCCCGGGCCTCAGGGAGCCGAGACCTGTCCAGGGCCTGGGAACATGGGATGCCTCAGCCCTGCCTGGGGGGCTCCCGGGGTGCCCAGCAGGCCCGGCGGTGTGTGCCGGTGGCATTGCTCCTCCTTTGATGAACCGACGTTTTGTGAGCACCGCCTCCTGCCAGCCCAGGTGCAGCTGCTGGAGGAGGGGGACGGGGTGGGAGAGGACCTAAGCAGAGGACAGTCCCACAGCCCCTGAGAGCAACCTGGACGGGACCTGCAGGTGCCCCGGCAGGAGGAGGGACACGTGTGGTGTCCCTGCGGGGGGACAGCCAGCACGCCCCCGACATGGATGAGCACGCGGGCGTGATGGGGCCCCAAAGCAGCAGGGACGCGGCTGTGACTGTGCTGCACCTCCCAGCGCTCGCATGCAGGGCAGACAAGACAGACCTGGGCTGGGCGGGAGTGGGGTGTGGACCCGAGAGGTGGGACGGGCCAGGGGCTCGAGGTCTGACCCAGTGCCTGTGCCAAGGGACTGTTCTGGGCTGCCTTGGCGGGGGTTGGGGGGAGGTCAGACAGGGTAGGGGGCAGAGATGGCTGGTCTGCCTGGAAACAGGGCCCTTGTCGCTGCCCATTGGCAGGGGGGCTGGCTTTGTTGGGGCCAAGGCCTCTGAGGACCCCGCCTCCCTGCCCTGGGGTCCCCCTCGGGCGGGCGCATCCAGGGTCAGCCTGTCCCTGCAGCACAGCGCTGAGCGCCACGCCTGTCCCCTCCCCGCAGCCATCGTTAACCCCAAACAGCCCAAGGAGGTGCCCAAGAGCTTCAGCTTCGACTATTCCTACTGGTCACACACTTCGGTAAGCCCAGGGCTGGGGTTCCAGGGGGTGGGCTGCTGCTCGCTGTGCGGCCCTCAGCCAACGCCTTGACCTCTCTGCGCCAACGGGCGAGGGACCACCCCGCTCCTCTGCAGGGCCGACTGGGAGGTAGGGGCACAGGTGTGAGGCCTGTGGGGAGGGGCCTGCTTTCCTGAGCCGCCTTGTGTGAGCTGTGACACACACTGCCCAGCTGCGGCAGGGACCAAGGGGCCATCAGCCCACTGGGGGCAGTTTCCCAGGGTCCTAGCCGTACAGCCGTTTGCCTGCCAGCCTCTCCTCTTCCCCAGACACCCCAAGCTCGGTGTCCGAAGCGGAAGCTGCCCCCCTGGCGCCAGCCCCTGCACGCCCTCCCCCGCCCCCTGGAGCCTGGGAGAGCCCCGGCCTTTGCGCCTCCCCATCCCCCATCGGGCCTACACCAGTCCTCCCATCCCCCAGCCTCCTGAACCTGAGAAGGTGTCCAGGCCCCCTGCCCCAGGGCCAGCGCCCACCTCGGGTCACACCTTGAGTGCCTGGTCCCGGGACGGCCCCAGGGCTCCCCATTTCACCTTCCCCATCCAGCCCCGCCCCTCACGTCGTCAGGGTAATCCTGGGCCTGCCTAAAGTGACCGCTGTCTTCAGGACAGCGTCCAGGGGTGATAGCCAGGACCATGGACTCCTTGGGCCCCTGCCCTGCTGCCTCTCCAGCCCCACCTCGTCACCCCCACAGCTGCTACCTTGAGCACCACGTCATGTACCCCCGCCTCTGGGCCTTTGCACATGCTCTTCCCACTACTAAAATGCCCTTCCACTCTGTCTGGCCCTAGACTGGCTGGCTCCTCCCACCCTTCCCTCCGGAAGCTGCCTCCCAGGCAGGACTATTTCCCCTCTCTGGGTCTCCTGTGAGTGGATGGGCCGGGCAGGCGTCCCTCCCCACGGTGCTGTGGCCCTGGCGCCCGGAGGCCCTGGGTGCGATGCAGGCTCTCAGTGAACATCGTGGGCCGAGAGCCCAGCACGGCAGGCCCAGCCCCCTGCAGCTGCTACCCTCCTTGTCCCGCAGCCGGAAGACATGAACTACGCCTCGCAGAAGCAGGTGTACCGCGACATTGGCGAGGAGATGCTGCAGCACGCCTTCGAGGGCTACAACGTCTGCATCTTCGCCTACGGGCAGACCGGGGCCGGCAAGTCCTACACCATGATGGGCAAGCAGGAGAAGGACCAGCAGGGCATCATCCCGCAGGCACGCGGTGGGGGGGGCCGGTGAGGGGGACCAGCAGGGCATCATCCCGCAGGCACGCAGCGGGCGGGGGGACCCGGTGAGGGCAGGACAGGCAGGCGAGCACAAGCTGAGACCCGGGAGAGCAGGGGGCCGGGAGGGAAGGTAAAGCATGGGGGTGGCGGGGAGGGCAGGGCAGGAGGGGCAGCGTGGGGCAGACGGGCTGTGAAGGGGCTGGAGACCCAGATCCGAGGGTGGGGAGCTGCGGGAGGGCCCCAGGCCTGGGCAGTGCCCACCATGGTCACACCCATAAGACAGGGAGGCTGGGACAGCTGCTGGTAGGGGCCGACTCTTCCTGGGAGGGCTGTGAGGGCTGGAGTTCCCGGCAGGGAGAGGACCGGGACAAGGGGACGCCCACGGGGTGGGTCTCTGAACCTGAGCTGGTCAGTACTTGACCTGGTCAGGGCAGGGGAGAGTGCTGGGTGGTCTGTCGCATGGCAGACCCTCCACCTCATGCAGGCAAGGATGATGCAAGGAACAGGAGGGGATCAGACGTCAGCTGGGGGGCCCCCGAGTTAGCAGAAGACAGTGGCTCCTTGGCTACAGGCCGTCTCAGTGCCTTTAAGGTGGAGCGGGAGGGTGCGGGAGGGGCCCGGGAGAGCAGAGTCCAGCCTGGGTCGCAGGGGCCACAGCACCTCGAGGGGTGAGGCTCTGGGCACAGCCCAGCCTCACGTCTGGTGGTGTGCTCTGTCCCTGCAGCTCTGTGAGGACCTCTTCTCCCGAATCAACGACACCACCAACGACAACATGTCCTACTCCGTGGAGGTAGGGCTCTCCGTCACCCGTCCCTCGGAGCGTGGCTTTACTGACTTAAAGCCAGTGCCCGCCACCGGTCTGTGCCCTTAGCTTGTCATTCACGCGTGCATGTGGCAAACGTGCCAGCCCACGCCGGGCACAGGAGCGAAGGGCAGTGTCCGCTCTGCAGTGTCTGCTGAGCAGCTGCTCCGAGCTGCGTGGCCCGGGTGGCCCCGCTGTGACCGTGTTGGGTGAGCCCCCGGCACGGCTGTGTGTGGGGAGGGCCAGGCAGGGGGTGGGCTGACACCCCCACTGACATGTTCGTGCGGGGGGCCTGGCCGCACCGTGTGCTCCCCCCGCCCAGAGGTCCCTGATGTCCTCGCTGCCCCGCAGGTCAGCTACATGGAGATCTACTGCGAGCGTGTCCGTGACCTCCTGAACCCCAAGAACAAGGGCAACCTGCGCGTGAGGGAGCACCCGCTGCTGGGGCCCTACGTGGAGGACCTGTCCAAGCTGGCTGTCACCTCCTACAATGACATCCAGGACCTCATGGACTCAGGGAACAAGGCCCGGTGTGTGCGGGGTGACGTGCCCACCTTCCCTGCCCTCCCCCTCCCACCCGCGCAGCTCCGAGTCTCTCCGAGGAACACCTGTCCTTGGGGTGCCTGTTGGTATCCCCATGGGGTCTGTCCAGCAGCCCCCATGGAGGTGTGGGCCTCGTGGGCCTAAGGACATCAAGGGCACATGCCAGCCCATGGGGGCCTCCAGCTCCCCCAGGAAGGGGACGCTGTCGCCTACACAGGGTCTGCTCCTCGTGGGGGGTCAGGCTGTGCGCCCTGGGGGGTGGTGGCTGCCCTGGGTGGGGCCAGGCTGTGAGGACCAGCCCTGCCTGCTTGGAGGGCAGATGGCCCTCTGGACAGGGGCATGTGGGGAGGGTCGGCCACAAGGTGCTGCCGGCCACGAGCTATTGGTCTCCGTGACCACGCTGCCCTGGGCTTCCCAGCCTAGGAGGGTCTGCCCTGGTTGTCGTGGCAACAGTCCCCCTGCCTTCTGCCACGCAGGGACTCGCGGGAGGGTGAGGATCCCTGGCCAGTGGCCTACCCTGCACTCAGTAGGGGTCCCCGGGGGCTCTTCCACCTCTGTGGAGGCAGCTGTCGGGCAGCGAGCCCAGCCTGGGGGCTTCCCTGGGGACTCTGCACGGCGGCGACATCAGGACCAACCACTGGCTTCCGCTTGGCAGCCTCGGGCCTTCTCCCTCAAGGCCGTGCTGGCCCCCCCGGATTGGCCGGTGTGGATGGACAGTAGAGCCCCCTTTCCCTTCTGGGGGCCTTTCCACGTCACAGCCTGCAGGCCGCCGCCCAGGGGGCTCTGCTCAGCCCCTGGGAGCAGGACATCCCCAGTCACGGGGCCCCGAGTGCCAGGCTCGAGTCGGGGCCGAAGGAGCCGCACCGGACGCAGTGGGGCAGGCAGTGTGGGCCCTGCCCGAGCCCTACAGGGGGCACGGTCGCCACCAGGCCGGGCAGGGCGGCCCCGGGAGCCCGGGGAGCTGACGTCTAGTGACCTGGTCAAGCGGGCCGGCAGCACCAGCGGCCCACACGCCCGACCACGGGACCCTGGGTGACAGTGTGTGGCTTCTGTTCCCCAGGACCGTGGCGGCCACGAACATGAATGAGACCAGCAGCCGCTCCCACGCCGTCTTCAACATCATCTTCACGCAGAAGCGCCACGACGCAGAGACCAACATCACCACAGAGAAAGTGAGTTCAGCCTCGGCGGGCGGGGCCCCGGGCCGGCGGGTGGGGAGGCCCAGCCGGGTGCCGGCCCGTGAGGCGTGGGCGCGGGCCGTTCCCTGCCCAGCCCGGGCCTCGGTGAGGGGCTGGCCAGCCCTGCGAGACCACCTCTTCTCGGTGTTTGGCGCCACGTGGCTGGGGAAGGGACTGAGTGGAGGGGCCGTGGACCCTGGAACAGCCTCCTGCCAGGCGGTTATGGTGGAGACTGTAGGCCCGAGGAGGGACGTCTCCGGGGCAGCCCCACTGGCCGGAGACGCCTCGGGGGCCCTTGGAGGGCGGTGTCGAAGGCCGCAGGTTGTGAGTGCCCGTCACAGGCTGGCCGTGGGCCCTGGTGCAGGCTGGGGGTGCCCCTCACCCCGTGGGCACCGGCATCTGTGAGCACAAAGGAGAGGCTGTGCTGAGCGGCCCTGCCCACTGCCCCCGCCCCAGATGCCTTTCCCATGAGCCTTGGCCTTGTCAGTGGACCCAGGCAGGCGCCTCGTCTCCTGGGGCCTTTATCCAGACACGCTGACTGTGGGCGCTGCAGGGGCAGTAGGGCGGGCGCCCTCCGTGGCCCTGACCCTAAGCATCTCGATTTCTCTGACTGGGCACCCTGCCAGCCAGGCCCTGCTCCCGGGGGCAGCACCCTGGGGTCCACAGAGTGGCTGGGGGAGCTCGGGGTGCTCAGTCCCCGATGAGGCTGGGTCACCCCGGCCTGGCGCCGTCCTCCCGGGGGCCTGGCTGCGGGCTGCCTGCAGCTCCCACCCCTCGGGCTCAGGGCAGCTGGCAGGCCCACTAGGCGGCTCCTGCCCGCAGCCCTGGGCTTCCCCGGGTGCATGTGGCTGCCTAGCCCGGGCTGGGCGAGTGCTGGGGAGGGAGCCCCTGCCCAGTGCCCGGGCGGCTCCGGGGGCAGTGGGCAGTGGGGGAAGGGGCTCCCGGAGCCAGGTTCAAATCCCACCACTCGGTGAGCCTGGTCTGTGGAACGGGTGATAGCGACAGTGACGTGCAGGTGACGAGCGGCCAGCAGGCAGGGAACAGCTGGGTGCCAGGTGCCCGGGGCAGAGGCCGTGCAGCCTCCCAGGGAAGGTGGCCTCCTCCTCAGAGGAGCTGAGAGCAGGGCCGCTGTGCTCCGCAGGGTTGGGCGCTCCGGCCCCAGGGAGGGGGGCCCCTGCAGGCCGCACCCAGGGGAGGCGGGGGCCACGCAGCGTCACAGCTCCTGCGCGTGACACACGTGTCCCCGCAGGTGAGCAAAGTCAGCCTGGTGGACCTGGCCGGGAGCGAGCGGGCCGACTCCACGGGGGCCAAGGGCACGCGCCTCAAGGTAGGGCCGCCCCCACCAGGGTCCCCACCGACTTGCCGGCGGGGCCTGGCGCCCAGTGGCTGCAGGGCGTCTCGGGTGGGCGCCCCCTTTGCCCCTGCTCTCGTGGGACGGGGAAGCGGGAAGGGTCAACGGTGCAGGGCTGGGCGCTGGGTCTCCATCAGGGCCGAGTGGTCAGGCCCGGTCCCGCCGGAGCGAGGGGCCTGAGGCCTCCTGACGCCCGGCCTCGTCTTGCCCGCGCAGGAGGGGGCCAACATCAACAAGTCCCTGACCACCCTGGGCAAGGTCATCTCCGCGCTGGCCGAGATGGTGAGCGGCTCCAAGCGCTGCGGTCGGGTGGCCTCGGGGGTGGGGGGCCCTGCTGGGGAGGTGCCGGGAGCGGCCACCTGTCCCTGCTGTGGGGCCAGGTTCACGGAAAAGCCCAGAGGCTTGGAGGTGAGGGGGTCCCCGGGCTGGAGATGGAGCCACGACCCTGTCCCTCCCCCGAGCCTCAGTTGTCCCACCTGTGAAATGGGGACGTGCCGCCTCCCCACAGGGCCCTGGGGGCGGCCTTGGGCTGTCGGGAGGAGCCGGGACCCTCGGGCTGAGGGGCTGGGCCTGGGGGGCGGTGGAGGGGAGGCAGTGTAGTGCGGGGGGCTCGGGCGGCTCGGGCTCCCCCCACCGCTTTGCCCCTGGGCCCGGCGTGCTCCGTCCTCAGACCCTGTCTTTGCCTCTGCAGGACTCTGGGCCCAACAAGGTAAGCATCTTCTTCCTCGCTTCTCGGGGAGCGGGGGGGGTCTCAGCCCTCTCGGGCGGGGGTGTGGGGGGTGCCTGAGAAGCAGAGCCGGGCCGGGGCCGGTGCGGGGAGAGCAGCCCGCGGGGGTGGATGAGAGATGGCGGGAAATGAGATCATGGTGAATGAACGGCGAGGAGCCTCGTGGAGGACAGAACGGGGCTGTGAGGGTGACCCTGAGCAGGAGGGTGGCCTCCCGCCCGCGTGGCTGGGGGGCCGGGGGCGTTGTGGCTCCGGGGCTGGGCCTGGGGGCTGAGGAGACCCCGGGGGAGGAAGCACCGGGCGGGAAGCCCGCCGAGCGTGTGACGTGCTGAGGTGGAAGAGCCTGGTTTGTGTGAGGAGCGGTGGGAGGAAGCGCGTGCGGTGGCGGGGGTCCCAGGAGCGCCGTGAGGGGCTCCGTGAGGAGCGGAGAGAGCGCGCGGACCGCGACACCGGGCGAGGCTGTGAGAGGAAGCGTGAGAAGCTTCGGGGGCAAATGCGAAGGACCCGTGTGATGGGCTGTGTGACGAATTGTAGGCAAGCGTGGCCCGTGTTGGGGGAAGCGAGCGGGTAGCTCTGTGAGGAGGCGGAGGGACTCTGGGCGCTGCGAGGAGCTGCATGAAGGCTGAAGGGCCACGTGTGACAGGCGCGGGCATGTGTGAGGAACTGGCAGGAACTGCGTGCAGAGCTGTGCTGCAAGCGTGACGCTCTGTGCAGGGACTCTGCGTGAGGAGGCGAGTGAAGCTGCAGCACAGCGGGAGCTGTGAGGGGCTCCGTGAGGAGCTGCGAGAGGAGCTAGGTGTGGACCTGCTTTGTGAGGAGATACGTGAGGACGTGTGAGGTCTTGCGTGTGGCGGTGAGAGAGCCGTGCGGAACCTGGGCTGTGAGGAACAGCGTGGGGTGGGACCTGGGAGGGGGCCTGTGTGAGAAGGTGTGAGGAGCGTGTGGGAACATGTGCAACGACAAGCAGAATCGTTAGGAAGCGTGTGGATTCGGGGGAACTGTGGAAACGTGAGAGGAAGTGTGGGAGGTGGTGTGAGGACCTGTGAGGGACATGCGTGTGGAATTGTGTGGGGACGCGTGAGAAGACTTGTGGAAGTGCGTGAGGGAACCTGTGGGAGCTCTGAGTGGAACTGGGAGGCACTGTGTGCTGAAGTGTGTGAGGAGCTGGGTGTGACTGTGAGAGACTGTGGAGGTGTGAGAGGAAGTGTGAGGAACTGTGTAGAACTATGAGGAACTGTGTAAGAAACTATGTGAGGAACCGTGAGGAACCGTGTGAGGAACCGTTTGAGGAACTGTGAGGAGCCGTGTGAGGAACTGTGAGGAACCATGTAGAACGGTGTGAAGAACCATGTGAGGAACTGTGTGAGGAACCGTGTGAGGAACCGTGTGGGGAACCGTGTGAGGAACCGTGTGGGGAACCGTGTGGGGAACTGTGTGGGGAACCGTGTGGGGAACCGTGAGGAACTGTGTGAGGAACCGTGTGGGGAACCGTGTGAGGAACCGTGTGAGGAACCACGTGAGGAAACGTGTGGGGAACCGTGTGGGGAACCGTGTGAGGAACCGTGTGGGGAACCATGTGGGGAACCATGTGAGGAACCGTGTGAAGAACCGTGTGGGGAACCGTGTGAGGGAACAAGGAAGGGACTGTGAGGGGCTGCGATGGAGACTTTGCAGGAACAGAGCGACACCAGTTTGGGGGCTCAGCGCCTGGAGCCGGGAGCGTGGGGTCCCGTGGGCGATGAGGCCAGAGGGCCGGGCCTGACCCGCTCCCCAGCGTCACCAGGAAGCAGCTGACTGTGATCTAGCGGAAGCGGCCATGGGTTGGCCGCAGGCTCAGGAAGACTGACTGCAGCTGGCTGCGCCCTTGGGCTGCCGTGTGAGGAGCCACCGGCAGGAGGGGCGGCCGCGGTGGCCGGCAGGACGGCGGAGGGTCGGGGCGGCGAAGGTCCTGGAGCTGAGGCACTCGCGGCCGGGGGGCGGAGTGGAGGGAGGGACGTGTGAGGGAGCCACCGAGTCAGAGGCGCCGCTCGGGCTCCTCATGGGGTGAGCGGGTGACCGTGGGGCATTTACTGTGGGAACGAGGAGCGCGACAAACGTGGCAGAGAATTCTCTCTCAGGGGTCAAATGATCAAGCACAAGGTGGAAGTGGAGTCTCCTCACCCCCCAAGTTTGCGGTGGGAAGGAAGCTGCGCTTTGGTGGCCAGACGCCGCCACACCTGCTCTCTCGCGGGGGAGCCGCCCCCCAGCGGCGGGTCTCGGAGCGTCCGTGACTCGCGGGCCCTGCAGGCTCCCCTCGGGGGTGATGCGTCTGTGCCCTGAGGAACGCCCTCGCGGGGCCCTGGGGGCCGCTGCGGCTGCCGAGCAGACGCTCCTGAGGCAAAAACGTGCGCGAACGAGGGAGGCGGGGAAGCCCCTGCGCCGCGCTTAGTGGTGCCCGCGGGAGCCCCGTCCTGACGGGGGTAGCGGGTGCCGAGGGGGACCAGGTTGCTGGGGGCTTTGGAGCCGCTTAGGCGGGACGGGCCCGGGCCTGGCGCAGGCGGAGGCGGCTTCGTGTGCACGGGGAGGGGCCCCGCAGGGTTTCCTGCAGGCGAGGGGCCTCTTGCCCTCCGTCAGCAGAGCTGCTGGCGGTGTTTGTGGGGCGATGGGCTCGCGTGGTCCTTCTGACAGCGCGGAGCGAGGACGCACTGGCCCTGGCCCCTGGCATCAGCCTGCCCGGGCTCTCCACACTGTGGCGACGGAGGAGGGGGGAGGCCAGAACGTGCTAGCAAGTCCCTGGCTGCAGCCCGAGCGGAGGCACTGGGACTGGGGGGCGGAGAGGCCCTGGGAGCAGCCCCGCCCCGAGCCCCAGGCGCCTGGACTTCGGGGACACACCCGTGCTCGAGCCCCTCTTCCCTCCCCCTGCGGCGGCTCGGGGCTGACCTTGACGCTCCTCGCCTGCAGAACAAGAAAAAGAAGAAGACAGACTTCATTCCCTACAGAGACTCGGTGCTGACCTGGCTTCTCCGGGAAAACCTGGGTGAGGACTCGACGCCCGGCCCGGCCGCCGCCGTCCTCCCCGGCCTGGGCGGGTGCCCATGCTTCCCGGGCTGTGCGGCGAGCCCGGGGGCTGCTCCGGGGGCCCGGGCCAGGGGTCAGCAGTAGGTTAACGACGCCAGGCCCGGGGACCCGGATGGCCCTCGGGGCTGCACGTGAGCAGACACTGTGTCAGCGCTCCTGAGCCAGGACCCACCCTCTGGGCCTCGGTGATTCTGGGGAGCCCCGGCTGGCTGACCCTGCCCCCCAGAACCAGCCTAGCTGGTCCGCGGCTCAGGCCAGCGTCGGGTGCAGTGGCCGGCCTCCCGGTGGAGGAGAGGGCAGATGGGAGACCCCGGGGGCAGGTGGGTCCCCCAAGAGAGGACGTGAGAATCACAGGAGTGAGTGTCCCTTCACCTGAGATGCAGCCTGGACGGAGGCCTCTGCCCCAGGGCCACACCCAGGTCCCGCCCCAGGGTGGGTGGGGAGGCCCTTCACAGCATGGCACCCCGAGCCCTTCGCGGCATCGCCTCGCAGTCTGCTGGAGGCCACACCCTGGGGATGTGGTCCCCGGGACACAGGTCCCTGTGGGTCCGTGCGTTTCCTGATGCTGGGATCCACGTGACCCGAGCTGGGAATCTGACATGAAACGTTAAGAAACGTATCAAATAAGAAGGATAAAAGTGAAACGTTTATGGAGCAGAAACAGTCCTTGTAGTAAACGGCATAAAACTCTCCACAACTTTTCTCTTTATTATGGGGAGGGGGAGGCCTGTTGGTTGTAATGTGACCCCAAATGTCGGAAAAGCATGGTTTTATGTAGACGAAAAGTGAGCAGGGTGCCCGGCGCGGTGAGGGAGGCCGGCCGCCTGCTGTCTGCTCACCTCCCAGCTACGCCTGTGCGGGCGGAGGGCAGGGGGCGCAGCAGTGGGGCTGACCCTCCTCTGGGACCACCTGCTCTCCGCCCACAGGTGGGAACTCGCGGACGGCGATGGTGGCGGCGCTGAGCCCCGCAGACATCAACTACGATGAGACGCTGAGTACCCTGAGGTGTGTCCGCGGGGCGTGGACCCTCCCTGTCCCCCACCAGCCGGCTTGGGCGGGAGTGGATCCTCCGGGTGCCTCCTTGCAGGGCCGGCTCACCTGGACTTCTTGGGCTCCAGATGGCTGGCAGGGCACCTGGTGCTTCCGGGTCCCATTCCATTTCCCACCGCGTGTGGCCTCGAGTGGCCCAGGGCCCTGCCGTCTGACCGGGCGAGCTGGGCTCGCGGGCTGAGCGGTTCGCCCCCACCCGTGGTCCACAGAGCCGCCGGGGTTTTTAACGAGCCACGGGGGGGCAGGCATGTCTGAAGGTCCCTCCGGCCAGGGGCCGTCCCGGGCTGCGGGAAGCAGCTTGGCGGCCGGGCTCGGCGCTCTGGCCTCTTGGCTGCCCCAGCAAAGGGCTGGAGTGCAGGTTAGATTCGCAGCGTCCACCTGGGACCACAAGTCCAAACGCGGAGGCCTCGCCGTGTGGAGAAATTTCCACCCCGTCCCTTCCCCTCCCGGGGCCTCGGTTTCCCCAAGTGGCAAGCCCCCCGTAGGTCAGTGGCCCTGGTGACTCCCTGTCGGAGATGCCCCTGCAGCTGGGCGCAGGCGGGGCTCCGGGTGCCCTTGGCCGCCGGGCAGCACAGCCCCCAGCCCCCCCTGCCTCCCAGGTACGCGGACCGGGCCAAGCAGATCCGCTGTAACGCCGTCATCAACGAGGACCCCAACAACAAGCTGATCCGCGAGCTGAAGGATGAGGTGACGCGGCTGCGGGACCTGCTGTACGCCCAGGGGCTCGGTGACATCGCCGACAGTGAGTGTCCGTGCCCGCCCGTCCTGGCCAGGGCAGCGGGGCTGCGGGGCTGGGGCAGGTCCCGCTGCCCTCGCGGCCCTTCTGGTCCGAGGCCCAGGCTCTGCTCCGGGCTCCAGGCAGAGCCACCGCTGGGTGGGGGGCCGGGGTTCTGGACTGGGCCTGGGGAGCTGCATGGTTCGGGTTTGCCGCTGGCCCAAGCAGGCCGGTGACGGTCTCCCCGGAAGCCACAGCGGCCGGCCGCGGTGCCGGGGTTGTCCCCCCGTCCCGCTGAAGACCACCACCACCCTACCTGATGCCCGGCCTGCGACGGCGCCCTCTGGAGACAAACCTGTTCTTCTGTTTCTGTCTCTCCCCCTCGCCTCCCCCCCTTAGCCAACACTGTGCCCGGAGGACCCAAATGTGTGTATCCCCTCCGCTGCTCTCTGCGCATCCCTGCTTCGGCCCAGCCCCGCGGGGCCTAGGGCAGCACGGTGGGGGGGGCGGGGCGCACCCACCCCTCCTTGGCCTTCCCCCCCTGGGGTCTGGGGGACCTGAGCCCTCTCTCTCACGGCACCCTGCGAGCCGTGATCCTGGTTCACCCTCGCGTCTGCTGGGAAACTGAGGCAACCGGGAGGCGTGGGGCAGCCATGGCCTCAGGCTGAGCGCGGCTGGGGTCAGGCTCTCTGCCCACCGTGCTCCTACAGGCCTGAATGTCAGCAGAGGCTGGGACAGCTCACAGGGCCGGGTCCATCCCCGACTCCTGGCTCTGGCCCCCCTCTGACCCCACCCACCCCGAGGCCCCTTCCCCTGGAAACGCCAGGAGTGTGAATGCGGCCAGGTCCTCCCAGCCTGCGTCTCCCGCCGGCTGTGGGCCCGGCTCCCCGGGCAGGGGCACGTGCTGGGGCCTCCCCACCCCAGGGGCCACAGGGCGCCCTCAGTTTCCGCAGTGCCCGTGCTGTCCTATGTCTGCCGCTGCTCTGCTGTGTGTCTGCTTCTGCCAGGAGGGGCCTGGGCACCTCCCGCCCCAGGGGCTGCGTCAGCCCCAACTCCCAGGCCTTGGGGGGCAGGGAGGCTGGGGTGCCCAGAGCAGCTTCTTGGGGTAGAGGAGCGTGGGCTCCCTCGGAGGTCCCAGAGTCCACGGCTCGGCCAGGCCGCTCGGCGGGGCGGACAGCACCGCCCGCGCCCGCAGCTCGGGGTGCGTGGCGGGCTGGTGGGTGGCGGGCTCGAGGGGCGGAGAGGATGAGGATGAGAGTCAGGGCCTGGGTGCAGGGGGGCCGCTGGGCAGTGGCAGCAAAGGGCAGTGGGAAGGGGGGCAGGGGGGCAGGGACGCCGGTGGCCCGCAGGCTCGGCATGTGTGCGGGGGGGGGGGGGGGCGGAGGCCCTGGCGGGGATGCCGAGGGACCTGGTGGCGCAGCCGCACCGTGGCAGGGGCAGCAGTGCATGTGCTCGTGCGGGTGCCCAGCTCCTGGTCCCTGCTTGCTACTTTCTCCTCACCTGCCTCTTGCTTTTTCCCAACTTGGTCTTTCTTTTCTCTCCTCCCGTCTGTCTTCCCCACTTCCTCCCGTAGACGTGTCCGACCTTGAGAACAGTAACTGTAACCGTGGCGGGGTGGAGCTGAGTGCAGTCCCTGACAATCTCTCCACAGTGACCAACGCCCTGGTGGGTGTGAGCCCGTCGTCCTCGCTCTCAGCCCTGTCCAGCCGTGCCGCCTCTGTGTCCAGCCTGCACGAGCGCATCTTGTTTGCCCCGGGCAGTGAAGAGGCCATAGAAAGGCTGAAGGTGAGGCAGGGCCGGGCTCGGACCTGGTGGGCGCTAGGCCAAGACCCCTCCTCTTGGATGGTCGCAGGCGGAGGGGCTTGGTCGGAGGCGAAGTGAGCCATGCAGGGGGGCGCGGGGTGCGTCTCGGCCCCCGACCCTAAGCACCTCGTCCAGGGGGTCGGTGCACCCTGTCTAGGACCGTGGGGCCCGTCTGCTGATTAGGGCGGGGGTCCTAGGGCCTCTGCGCCCTCCCTCCCAGGTTTCCGTGCTTAAACCTGCTCTTGCATGGTCTTCACCTTCCCGGCCTGGCCACGGCGGCCTGCGTTTAGGGTTAGGGTTACTGGCTTCCTTCAGCGAGTGGGTACAAGGTGCCGGGTGTGAGCGGCGGACGGCGAGCCCAGACGGAGGGGACAACGGCACAGGCGCCAGACCCGGGCTGATGAGGGGGTGGGCTGTGCAGCCACCCTGGGGCGTAGGGCCCACCTGAGGTGTGGGAGGCGTCCACCCGGGATGGACCTGGGGTACAGAGGCCCACTGGAATGCGGGGGCTGGGAAGGAAACGGGGAGGCGGTGCTGGTGTGGGAAGTGTCGTCCGTCTCACCCGTGGTCCAGGGGCATGCGAGCCTCAGAACATGCGAGCCTCAGAACCGGTGTCAGCGTCTCCCTGCGTGTTTGTTTCTCCCTCTGGGTTTATTCTGCCTTTCCCTCTGTTTTCTGTGTGTCCACAGCAAAGACACGCGTCCTTTGCACGTCTTAGCCCTCAGCCCTTCACCTTGACCTTTCAGACTTCGAGCAGTCTGGATGGACCCGGGAATTGGGGTGCTGGGCCCTGCAGGCCCGGCTACTCGTCTCTCCTTTGCCTGGCACGCAGGCCTCTGTCCACTGCCTGCCCCCCGCGCTGACCTCGCTCTGCTCTGTCTGCTCCCCAGGAGACGGAGAAGATCATCGCTGAGCTCAATGAGACCTGGGAGGAGAAGCTGCGGCGGACGGAAGCCATCCGGATGGAGAGGTGGGCGGTGCGGGCTGGGGGCCGGCAGCAGCCCTGTGGTCAGCTCTCGGCTCCTGCACCCAGGGGTGGCCGCGCCCAGTGCAGGACACACCCGTCCCCTCTCATCCAGTGACACGCCCCCCGCTGTCACCAATGGCCCCATTGAGCCGATCCCCAGTCAGGGGACCAGTCCCTCAAGTGGACACCTGAACTCACTGACCAGATGAAAGATTGTGCGGGTGCTGACCCCCGCTCTATCCCCCAGGGAAGCGCTGCTGGCCGAGATGGGCGTGGCCATGAGGGAGGACGGCGGCACCCTGGGGGTGTTCTCTCCCAAAAAGGTAGGAGCCGGCCATTCTCTGGGCTGCCCCGATGTGGACAGGGCTGGGGGACCTGCGGCCCTTGGCAGGTGTCGGCTCCTGGAAGGTCAGCAGGGTCCTCCTGGGAGCAGGGAGAGCGGCTCCAGGCACCCGGCCAGGCTCACCTGCAGCCCTCCCTTCCCTGTGTAGAGCCTAGACCCTGCCTCCTCAAGGTGGGATGTCCCTATGGCCTTAGGACGTCAGAGAGGTGACTTAGCTGCCTGAGGGGTGGATGGGGTCCTGAAACAGGTGGGACCTGGACCCCCCAGGAGCCTGTACCCCTCATGGGCAGGGCCTGGCTGGACACGAGCTGGGAGCCAGCTGCCCTCTCGGAGATTAGCTCAAGCAGGGTCTGGCTGTCCCAGCAGGGACCCCTCTTCTCCCACCCAGGCCAGCTTGCCCATGGCCCCGGCCCTCAAGTGGGGCAGAGCACCGCCCCCTGTTCAGTAGCTCCGATGGGGCGAAGCATGAACATCAGGGGAAAAGTCTCTGCGTGATTCCAGGACCCAGACCCCCACCCCCGTGCCCCCACCCCCAAGATTGCCAGACCCTCAGAGCCCTTAGGAGCTTAGCTTCAAGCCCAGAAGCCTGCCTGGAAGGCAGTGGGGTCTGTTCTGACGCCAGCACGGGACCCCGCAGGCCCTGGCCTGCTGCCTGGCTGACTTTTCACCCCAGCAAAGGGTTTCTTCGTTCACCAGCCTGCAAAGCTGGCGGCACGTGGAGCCCCACGGAGCCATTGGGGCCCCAAGGGAAAGGAGCACGGGGCGCTGGTAGGATGGGCACATCCGCTAGGGTGGCTGCTCCCTGGGGACAGGGCCGGGCTCCTCAGGCTTCTCCTGCACCCACGCACTCCGGCCCAGGGAGCAGCTGAGGCCCAGAAGCAGGGAGGAGGGGTGCCGGGAGGCCCTCGGCAGGGCGGGGAGCAGGTGCGCCCTGGCGGGGTCCCGCCTCAGTGCCTGTCGGATGGGCCTTTGGTTTCCATTTGGAATGCTTCGCTCTTGAGCTGTTGCATTGTCCATGGGTGCAGTGCCCCGGGGTGGGCAGGCGAAGCTGGGGTACAGGTGCCCTCGGGACACTGGCTGTGCAGTCCTTTGGCTTCATTGGTGGCAGAGGGATCTGCTGGTGGCCCCGGGTCTGGACATTGTCCAGGAGTGGGAAGGCAGCCCTCGGGACCACCAGGGACACTTCCTCTGGAGGACAGTGGGGTCCCCACTGGACTCTGGAGAAGCACATGGGCCAGCTGGGTCCCCCGCTCGGCCCCATGGAGGGAGCACAGGCCCTTCCTGGCTGGACGCCTTCTGTGCTCAGGGGAAGGGGCCGCTGTGGATGGCCTGTCCTGTGTCTGATGACCAGGTGTCCACAGCCCTGTGCAGGGGTGTCAGAGGGGTTTGTAGCTCAGGGTGGGGGCAGCTTGCCCCGAGGTGCCAGGTGGGGAACAGACAGGAAGCTCTCCCAGCCTCCGCCATGTTGCAGGATCCTTGCCCGGGACCGGGTGTGAGGTCAGGAAGTGTTGGGGCCCAGAGACCCCGGGTGAGAGCAGTGGAGAGAGTGAAGAGAGGGGGTGCTGGTCCAAGGCCCAGTGGACAGAGCCTGCAGTGGCTGCCCTGGGCACGGGCTGGGGTGGGGAGCCAAGGGCAGCGCTCAGGCGGGGCAGCTTGCGGGAAGCGGTCACTTGGCCTTGGGTCATGCTTTGGTAGAGCCGTGGTCAGGATAGGTGTGGGCGTCGGACCTGGGTGGCTCGGGGGACTTTTTTCATAGCCTCTCTGCTCCCTGGCGTCCAGGGCCCGACCCCTCCCTGCCCAGCGTCCTAATCCCAGGGCCCTCAGCTCCTGGCTGCCCCGGTTGGAATGGGGACCTGCAGCCCCGTTTTAGGATGGAGGACCAGGCCCAGGCCCCATGAGACCCAGCCTTGCCCTGCACATCCAAGGGCCTACCACAGCCTCCAAGCACTCCCTGGGCACTCACGTGCTCAGAGCTGGGGTCCCAGCCCCTCCTGAAGCCCAGCCCCCCACGTGCCGCCTGGCAGCTGTCCTCCCAAGACTCTGGGGTCCCCGTCAAAGTCTTCTCCTGTCTGCCAGGCTGGGAGGATACTGTGTCCCCCGAGAGGCCAGGCCTAGGGCGGGTGGCAATCTGGTCCTGGGGAGAGAGAGGGCAGCAGGCAGCCTGGGCCGGGCTCCCCCCCTGCCCCCCGAAGAGAGGTGACCCTTCTATCTCCGCAGACGCCGCATCTCGTCAACCTGAATGAGGACCCGCTCATGTCCGAGTGCCTTCTCTACTACATCAAGGATGGGATCACCAGGTGGGGGTCGACGGGGCGAGGGGAGGACTGGGCTCCCCCACTGAGGGGTCGCTGAGCCCGGGCACCTGCTGGCAGGGGTGCTGTGGGCCCCTCTGGGCAGTGTGGTCCCCCAGGCCAGGCCGCTTTGGGGGCTGTCCCCTGGACCCCCGCTTGTGCTCTCCAGGCATTTCCCGTAAGAGCTGGGCATCCTGGGGGCTGCAGGGGGACCAGGCGGGCCAGCGGGTGGCGTCGTGGCGCCCTGGGTCCAGCCGGCGCTGACGACCGCACCACACACACAGAGTGGGCCGGGAAGGCGCAGAGAAGCGGCAGGACATAGTCCTGAGCGGACACTTCATCAAGGAGAAGCACTGCGTCTTCCGGAGCGACTCCCGAGGGGGCGGTGAAGGTATGGCCTCCCCCAGCCCCGCCCCTACCCGGCGCTGCTGGTGTCGGCCCTCCTGGCTCCCCACTCAGTCCCGGGAGCCCCCCTGCCCCACCCCGAAAGGTGCTCTGAAGGCTGGGCTGGGGACATGCAGCTCCGTCCCTGCACAGGGGGCTGGTTGGGGTGCTCTCGGGCAGGAGGGCACTGAGCCTGGATCAAAGGGACGGCTATTCTTAGGCCACGCCTTCCCGTGGGCTGGGAGCGGCCATCTGTCCCTCTCTCTGGCCGGCCTGCCCTCGGGCCTCCGTCCCCACTGCCGGTTGTGGGCATGACCCTTCCTTCTCAAGAAGGCACCTGCTGGGCTGTCCCAGTGCCCACGGCCCCCGAGATCAGGGCAGGTGTCTGGACAGCCTCTGGGATGCAGACCAGTGACCAAAGCCCCCTCTGTGACCAGGCCACTTCAGGGTGGCCTTAAACAGTGTTGCGGACGTTGGTTCTCCCAGAATTCCGTCCCCAAAGCTCTCTCTCCCCTCGGTGGGTGGGCACAAAGGCAGGAGGGGCTCTGGGACTCCTGGGGACATGCGAGCCACTGTTTCCCATCCCACCTGGAGACCCTGCGGGGCGGGGCGGTCACCCAGCACGGCCTCCCCGCCTCTGACTTGGGCCCGTGAGCCTCCCAACTGGGCATCACTTTCCTCATCTGTGAGGGGCTGAGAGGCCCCTCCGGCTTCTCGAGGCCCAAGCCAGGTGCCACAGCGGGGAGAGGGGCCTGGCGGGGGCCGCGCCTGGGTGGCAGGTGGCCAGGTGGGTCGAGCCCCCTGCCCCCGACGCTGAGCGGGGCTTGCTGGGCTCAGACGGGGACGCGGCCAGGAGGACAGCCCCTCACGGTCCTCTCCGTGCCCCCATCTGTCCTATAGCCGTGGTGACCCTGGAGCCCTGTGAAGGGGCAGACACCTACGTCAATGGCAAGAAAGTCACGGAGCCCAGTGTCCTGCGGTCAGGTACAGTGGAGGCAGGGGTGGCCCCTGTGCCGCCCGCCCTGCACGCGCGCCCTTCCTGCTCGTGCGGCACCCCAATCCGCCCCCCACCAGCCGGGCAGCGCACGGGCCGGGGCGGGTGGGGGGAGAAGGCCGCTCCAGGGGTGCCGAGGCGGGATTCCGGGCGGGGGGCGCCTGTCCCAGAGCCCCGGTGGGCTGGCGCGTGGTGGAGCAGAGGAACAGCCAGCGGGGTGTGCGCTGCACCGGCCTCCGGACGCCGGCGCCCTGGCTTCGTGTCCTCGTGTTCTAAATCACACCTGGAGATATGTCTGTCTGTCTATCTATCTGTTTGTTCACCTATCAAGAGATTTATTTAATGGAATTGGCTCAGGACGTGGTGAGGGCTGGACGGGCGCGTCTGAACTCCACAGGCGGGACTTTCTCCTCAGGGCAGCCTCGGTTTAGCTCCTGAGGCCTTTCACCCGGTGGGGGAGGCCCGCCTGCGCCTGCGTAACGGTGGGTGGGCTCCTTCCCGAGGTCACGTGATTGTAGGTGCGCCGTTGGGCTCCCCAGCCCAGCCAAACTGACACACAACACTGACCATCGTGTCACCTTTGGCTGGGGTGACTTTTTGCTAAGAATGAGGGGACCCTCCCCTTCCCCAACTGGGGGTGCAGAGGGGATGGGAGGCCTAGAAGGTGACGCCTGGCAGCTTGACGTGCAGACCTCTCCGGCCACCCTGAAGGGCCTTGTTTTTAGCTTCCAGGACCCAGGGTCCTGCCTTTGGGGTCCCGAGGGTTGCTTTGAGGGAGGGACACACCGTGCATCCTGGGTTCATGGGCCTCGCCTGGCTGCCAGTGTGGGGAGATGGGGCGGTTGAGCTGGGCCAGGGCAGGTCCAGAGCTCCCTTCTCCCCCCTGTTGTTTCAGGATGGGGCCTGGGGCTTGCAGGCTCGGGGCAGGGCCCGGGCTGGGAGGGGCGGCCGGGCTCGGGAGCTGGGGGAGGGCTGAGGGAGGCCTGGGGAGGACCAGCCTGCAGGCCCGGGTTCTCCTGTGGGGCGAGGGGCTGAGCCAGCTCTGCAGGCCGCAAGGCAGAGCCGAGGTTCCTGGAGAAAAAGCTGGAGAGAAACTAGGCCGCGTCCAAAGAGACCCCCACCGGCAGGGCTGCCCAGGGACAGCAGGCCCTGCCCTCGTGGGACAGGTGCACCCTGGAGGGTCCTGCAGACGGGGTGGACCCTGCCCCGGAAACACGCAGACCCCTGCCCTGCTTCCGCCGGTGGGACAGATGGGAAGGGAAGCTCCCTGCAGGCGGGGGCCAAGCCCAGCCCTCGGGTAGGGGAGTGCCAAGGCCCAGGGCACGGGAGCAGGAGGCCAGGCTGGCCCCGGGGTGGCACCCGTGGGGCCCTGGAGGGGATGGGGCAGTGGAGAAGCCCCAGGCTGTGTTTTGCCACCATTGCTGCTGCTGCAAGGGGAGGTGCCGAGGGGAGGAACCGGGGAGAGTGGGGAGGCCCGCTCGGGTCCTGGTGGGGGAGGTGGCCCCCTGGCGGGGGCAAGGGTGACCCCGGGCACAGGACCCAGGGGGCCGGCTCCTGGCGGCTGGAGGCCCCCCCAGGGGTGGGTGGTGCTAAGATGCAGCCCCGGCTACATTCGTCCTCTTTTCCTCCTCCTCCCCCCTCTCACCCCTGAGACCAGCCGAGGCCAAATGTCCACCAACTCTGGCCTCGCCTCCATCCCCCAGGAAACCGCATCATCATGGGAAAGAGCCACGTGTTCCGGTTCAACCACCCTGAACAGGCAAGGCAGGAGCGTGAGCGCACGCCCTGCGCGGAGACGCCTGCCGAGCCCGTGGACTGGGCCTTCGCCCAGCGCGAGCTGCTGGAGAAGCAGGGCATCGACATGAAGCAGGAGATGGAGCAGAGGTGAGGCCCCAGGGGCTGCCGCCCGGGCGCCCCCCGCACCCGCCGCCACCCCGCCCGCCCTCACCCCCACACGCTCTCACAGGCTGCAGGAGCTGGAGGACCAGTACCGCCGGGAGCGCGAGGAGGCCACCTACCTCCTGGAGCAGCAGAGGCTGGTGAGGGCGGCGGGCGCTCGAGGCCGAAAGAGGAGGGGCCGAGGGGTGGAACCGGGGAGAGTGGGGAGGCCCGCTGTGCTGGGGCTGCGTCCGGGCGCCCTGGGCCTGGGCCCGGGCGGGAGGGCTGGGGACGACGGGCGGGTGTCCACGTGGAGACCGCCAGCCTCGCTTCTGCGCCAGGACTACGAGAGCAAGCTGGAGGCCTTGCAGAAGCAGATGGGCTCCCGGGGCTACCCGGAGGCGAATGAGGAGGAGGAGGGGCCGGAGGACGAAGGTGAGGGGCCCTGTCCCGCGTGGGGGTGGGCTGCGGAGGGGGCTCAGGAAAGAGGCGGCCCCGGGCTGCTCCCTGCAGGTCAGCTGCTTGGCACCTTTGCCCTGGGGTCCCCGGTCTGCAGGCAGGATGCGGGAGGCTGTGCTGCAGCGGCGCACACCCGTGCGTGCACCCACCGCTGCTTCTGGCGGGGGTGGCCTGGAGCGTGAGGAGGACGGGGCGGGGTGGGTGCTCCCAGGCGGGTGCCCTGCGTCCACTCACCCCTGTCCTGCCCGAGGGAGGCTGGTCTCTGCTCCACACCTCGGGACCCGCTTTGGGAGCATTGGCTTGGGCGGCCCACTGGCTGACCTCTCGCTGCTGGCGGCCCGAGGGCAGCCCAAGGGCAGGGTGTTCACGTCCAGCTCGGCCTCCGGTCAGCTGGTCGGGACCTTTGTGCTGATGTGACCAGGTCTCCACCGGCTGGACTCGTCCACCTGAGAGGGTGTGTGGGACAAGCCCCGGTCTGCCCTCCTGCCCCTGTCCCACTGCTGCCCCCCAGGCCCTTGCTGAGCTCCAGCCTGACTCTCAGGACCCTGGCGCTCACACTGGGGGAGCCGGCGGCCTCTTTGGGGCACGAGGGTCGTCCCCTGCGGCAGAGCTTCCTGCCAGTTAGTGTGCAACTGGGGACCCGCGCACCGAGCGCCCAGCCCCGTGATGACCCCGTGCTCCTCTCCCCGCAGTCCAGTGGACGGAGAGGGAGTGTGAACTGGCGCTGTGGGCCTTCCGGAAGTGGAAGTGGTACCAGTTCACGTCCCTGCGGGACCTGCTGTGGGGCAACGCCATCTTCCTCAAGGAGGCCAACGCCATCAGCGTCGAGCTCAAGAAGAAGGTGGGCCCCTGCCGCTGCGCCTGCCCCTGCTGTCTGTGCCTCGGAGGGCGGGCGTCACCCGTCCTGCTTCCCTCCGGGCCTCGGTGCCAGGCTGCGCCGCCTCCCGGCGGGGGGGGGGGGGGGGGCGGGGCAGACCCCCTGACCTGCAGCCCCCGGGAGGAGGGGGGGCCCCAGACTGACAGAGCGGGATGCGTAGGCAGGCCGATGGGCAGGTGGAGCCTCCTCTCCAGGTGGAGTCGGCGGGAAGGTTCCGAGGACGGTTGAGGGACAGGCAGCGGGAAGGAGGCCCTTCCAGGGCCGGGCTCCACCCTCCCCGGGGCTGACGGGCATCCTCCTCACTGGTCACAGGTCCAGTTCCAGTTTGTCCTCCTTACGGACACACTGTACTCCCCACTGCCGCCTGACCTGCTGCCCCCAGAGGCCGCCAAAGACCGAGAGACTCGCCCCTTCCCCCGAACCATCGTGGCCGTGGAGGTCCAGGACCAGAAGAACGGGGCCACCCACTACTGGACGCTGGAGAAGCTCAGGTGCAGTGGGTGGGCCATGCGGTGGGCAGTGGGGCGGGGCTGCTCCCCGGGCCTGGGCCGAGGCCGCTGAGACAGGCGGGCGTGGGATGCAAGGGGCGCACGCGTCCAGGCAGCGATTCCTCCTGTTTCGATTTCTTTTAAAATCAGAAGAAAAGATGTAAGTAGGATCCAGCCTCATCATAGAATCCACGTTCTCCTCGACCAGAGCAGTGGCACAGTTTGGAGGAAGGGGCGGGTGAGGCGCTGCAGGAAGCTGGGGGCTCCTCCACCTGGGGGGGGTGGAGGAGGGCCAGGTGGGGCCCCAGGGAGGACGGCCAGGTGTCCTGGGAGGTGTCTGCCCTACGGCTCTACCTCAGGTCCCGCACGCTCACCGTGACGTGCGCCTGGCTCTTCCTGGGTGAAGGTGACAGGACGGCTCTTTGCCACTGAAGACAATTTTAATGTTGCTCAAGTGCCCCTAGAAACGAGAGGCGCGTGGGCACAGGGCCGTCCGGGGGCCAAGGAGGGAGAGGAGGGCCTTGCCACGGCCTCTGCGAGGTTTTCATGGGCAAAGCAGGGCAGGGTGAACAGTGAGGACCGGCTGGTCAGCATAACGCCTGCGGGCTTCGGGCCCGGGCTGTGCCCGGGTGATTTAGGGCTGGGGAGCCGGCTGGCGTGCAAGTCGGCTAAGGGGCGGGTGGTGGCCTGTGTGGAGGTGGGCTCACCCACAGGCTGTTCACTGTCGGGGCAGGCCCCAGAGATGTGGAAACGTCATGAGATGCAGAGAACGGAAAGCGTGGTCACGACGCGCTCACGCACGCAGACACGTTTATACGCGCTCCATTCCGCTCACACACCCTCACACGCAGACGCTTTCCCTTCTTATGAGGTCCCCGCCCCCGGCACACGCACTGACCCACGCGCATTCACAGACACGTGCCTGCCTCTGCCCCGTCCTCCTGGGCTGCCGTCTGCTCTTGGAGGGCGGATGTCCCCCCCCCCCCCACGTCCCTCCTGGTGCGCCTGAGCCCCCGAGGGAGACGTCTGCGTCTCTCCCACCACCTGCCGGTTTTCCGGGGGATAGCCTCTAAAACGCCGTTTCCTGTGTCTTCTCACAACTTGCCCTTTGCCCCCCGAACTTCCGGGGCTCCGTGCCCCGACTCCCCGTCCTGAGCGGGGCTGGTCCCCGACCCCACCCGGCTGACGTGCCACGGCCATCACGGGGGCCGAGAGGAACGTGTGGCGAACTGCAAGCCCCTTGGCCACGGTCGGCTGACTCCGAGGACCCCAGAGGGTCCTCCTGTCAAGCCAGCTTGAGCCGTGGGTGACCCTGAGCAGGATGCTGTGGCCTGAGCCGTGCTGGGCCTGAGATCCCAGGATGCTCCCCCGGGGCCCACGCTGACCTCTGCCCTGCAGGCAGCGGCTGGACCTGATGCGGGAGATGTACGACCGGGCGGCCGAGGTGCCCTCCAGCGTCATTGAGGACTGTGACAACGTGGTGACTGGTGGAGACCCCTTCTACGACCGCTTCCCCTGGTTCCGGCTCGTGGGCAGGTAGGCGCCTCCTCCCCCCGGGCTGAGAGATTGAGAGAAGGTGGGGGGCAGCGCGGGGTTGGGCCCTGGCCCTGACACGAGGAGTGGGCCGGCCAGATGCCTTTCTCCATCCCGACTCCCCGGCCCTGGTCCTTCCTTGTCTGAGCCCCCTGGCCAGTCCTCTCCACACATCGGTGGGCCCTGGCCAGGGAGCGGGGTCTCAGCATCGCCACCCACCCCCGCTCCGGGACCATGGCCGGCAGGTGACACCTGTCCGTGTGTGTGAACGTGAGGCTTGGTCAGGCTTTCAGGTGGGGTGTGAGCGGGAGGCGGAGCCGTGTCCTCCCAGAGCTCAGAGTCCACGCCTAATGTCCCCAGCCTCCTGGTCCGGGGGCTGCACCCGGCCCCTGCCCCCCACGGGGCAAGGCTCCTGAGGCCTCAGTGCGGCCAGGCTCCCGAGGCCCTCACCGGCCTCAGCCGCACCTGGTCGGGACCATACCTGCCGGTGCCCTCCGGAACCTTCCGGAGCTCTACACTGACCCCCGTGCGGTGTCTGCCCACGCCTGGGGACCGGGCACTTTGGCTCTCTTGCCTGTCGAGGCAGCATCCTCGACGGTCGTGTGTTTGGTTTGGGTTCTCCTCGGAAGCCCCTGCCCCGCCCCGTCCGCCCGCGAGGAGCTGGCGTTAACTTCTCTCTGTCTTGTCGCACTAACCCCAGTTCAGTCACCTCTGGCTGCAACAGCTACCCTCTTCTCAACACATGCATGAGCGAGCGCATGGCTGCTCTCACCCCCTCCCCCGCCTCCTCGAGCCCCGACTCCGACGCTGCCGAGCCTGCTGAGGAGCAGAGCGTGGGGGAGGAGGAGGACCTGGAGGACGACGTCTTTCCGGAGCGCATGCCGTGCGACGGCCGGGACCCGTTTTACGACCGGCCCCCCCTGTTCAGTGTAGTAGGAAGGTTGGTGAGGTCGAGGACAGCATGCTGGGAAGGAACCAGCTCTTTTGCACAGGAGCACTGCTGCGGGCACGATTTGACCGCCGTCAGGGCGCGGCCCCCGGCGAGCGGGGCCTCCCCAGGACAGGGCGTGAGGGGGCGCGGGGGTTCCTGGCCTTCCTGCAGGGGCCCCAGTGATGGAGGAGGGCAGGGTGCCCCGGGGCACGGGCTCCTCACTGGTGGGCCTGTTTCCGCAGAGAGGCCTCCGGGACTCGGGAAGAGCAACGCCCCTGCCCGTTCAGGGCCCACGGGGGCATTCGGAAAGGCGGAGCCGTGCATCTTTGCGGCCCCCCCGCCCCACCCCGGCCAGCGTGGCTTTCCCTCCCTCCGCTGTTTTCCAGAAGAGATGGAGAGTCCTGGTCTGCTCCCAGTGCCCCTACCCTCTCTGTGGGGAGAGGGGCAGAAGCTGGAGCCGGCCGTGCCGGGGGGCAGGGAAGGAAGGGCAGGTGCCCGGGCAGTGGAAGGGCCTCCTTCTGAGGCCCTGGGTCCCGGGCAGCCCGGCCTCTCTCTGAGCCAGTCTCTGTCCCTCCTGACCCCCAGTGCCGGAGACGGTGCCAGTGGCCGTGTGCCCTCATGAGAAAGTGCCCTTTGCAGAGGAGCTCATGATTCAGTTTCCCGGACAGAGGAGAGAGGCCAAGTTCAGTGGGGGAGCGGGGGCCCCCCGCCCTGCAGGCAGGTTGGGCGTACCCAGTCCATCCTTATGTCTATGACCATGGAATGGAATGCAAGCAGGAAGGTGAAGGAAAGGCCTAGAAACCTAGCTGCAGTAGTAGGAAATTCAGCTCATGAAAACTGAATTTACGTATAGGCAAAGGTGTAAGATAGCTCTAACAGCACTCTTTAGGAGTTTCAGATTGCTTCCTTGGGCTAGACTGATGGAAGTGTTTGGAAGTCTTGACCCTGCAGCACCAGTACTGAAAGCTGAAGGCCGAGGCTGGTCCCCAGATAGCGGGGTTTGCACTGGGAGCCCTTGGGTGCGGGTGGTGGAGTGAAGGCCCCACTGGTTCCTCCTGGAAGGAAGCAGGTTCTCAGCTGGCGCGTCATGGATTGATTCTGATTACTCTTCCCTGAGTGTGAGATGCTGGCCCACTGGACAAAACCGCGAGGCTCTCTCCGAGACGCCCCGGCTGGGTTCCTGCTCTGCTGAGCCCGAGGGGGAGGTGCGGCCCCAGGGCCAGCTGCACGCGGGCCTCTCAGAACGCCCGGCCGCTAGGGCCAGGGTGGCCGGATGCCAGGCCGGCGCGGGGTCGGGGCACACGGGGGCAAGGACACTGGGAGAAACGGGGGTGGGCTCTCGCAGTCTCAGCCGGAAAGAGCTGGGTCCTTCCGACATTCCCCCCTCTGTGGATCTGGGATGTGACAAAACCACCAAGCCAAACCAAAGCCACGAGTGAGAGGCCAGCTCCCCACGGCGGCCGTCTGCGAGGGGTTCATCTGGAAACGTCCTGATCTTTTTGGTTGGCGAGAATTGGCTTTTCCCGCGCAGCAGCTGTGCCGGCCCAGGCCCTGAGAAGGGCCCGCCCTTGGTCTCCTTCTCTCCCTCTGGTAGCCGCTGGCTCTCTCTCCAAGGCTTGAGCGAAATGGGGGCGCCCACTCTTGTCTCCCTTGGACAGGCTTCCCGGGCCCCAGCATGCGTCTGCACCTCACCAATCTCGTGGTTAGCGCTGCCCCACACTCAGCCCCGGCTCTGCCACCTCCTCTCTCTCCGGCGGGTCTCAGCCTGCTTCAAGGTGCCTCACCTCTGTGAACAGGGCCCCCGGCAGGGGCCTCCCCCGTCCTCACCCGGGGCTCCTCACCCAAGTCCAGGGTCGGCCCCCCGGGGGGGTCTCCCTCTGGCGGTCTGGGTGCCAGTGAACTGGGAGGTGAGATGGGCCAACCCAGGTGGAGGAAGTGGGCCTGGGGGCTCCGTTTTGCCCCATGATCCTCCCTGCTCAGACCGTGGCTTTCAGAAGGCGGGTGGGCTGCAGAGAGAGGAAGGCGAGGGGGTGACTGTCTGGGATGGAGGGTCCCGGGGAAGGGGGACTGGCGACCGCCCAAGGGACGTGTTCAAGACTGGGTGGGAAAGCACTGACCCGCCGTGTCTGCTCTGTGCCGTCTGGGCTGGCGAGGCTGGGCCCTCAGCTCCCAGCTGGGTGCGCTCTGTGTGCCGAGCCGCTCAGCCCGAATCGGCCCCTGCGAGGCTCCAAGCCACCCCGTGTGTGGGTAGGTGCGCCGTGGCCGGCAGGGTTCTCTGGACAGGGCTGGGTTGTTCTGGCCCAGGGTGGCGGGTGCTGACGTCAGGTTGTTTCCGGCACCTGGTGGGCAGTGAGGGGGAGGCCCAGCCTCTGCACCATAGCCCCATCCCCTCAAGTTCTGGGGCTGCCGGGCGGGGTGGGCCTGGGGTCTTCCAGCCCCCGCCCCCTGCCCTCGAAGCTGGTGCTGCCAGCGGGGGCCGTGGCTGCTGGGCCCCCAGAGGTCCCTTGTGGCTGAGTGCACCCGTCACTGTCACCAGTCAGACAGGGACTGGGGCAGCAGGAAGGAGAGAGTATCCAGCGTGGCTTCTTTCTCTGCCTCTGGGAGTCGCAGCTGGATCTGCACGCGAACCCACCTGGGCACCCGTGAGCGTGAGAGCCTTCCGACAGCCGGTGATGGGGTTCAGAGGGAGGGAGTGTGGCCGTGGATTCCAGGCGTGTTTTTCATTGTAAGACCCTAACCTCCAGCCAAGGGCTCCCTCGAGGCCCCGGCCCTGCCGTTTTTCAGTGCCAGAAGTATCTGGGCTTTCTTTCCCCTCTGACGTGAGGAAATCCTGAAAGATCAAGAAAGGCTAGATTTACTTAGTTAATGAGCTGCATTAATTAAGCCGGTGGGGGTGGAGCGTGGTGTCCACACGGTTGGGAGCTGACAGGAGCCGGCCTGTGGGGTCTCACGCCAGCTGGGGCTCTGCTGCAAGCAACTTCCTTAATGTCCTTGGGCCTCCGTCTCTTCACCTGTGAAATGGGGCAGGAATGGCGTATTTCACCAGCTCTACACGGCGTCTTAGCTCTCCGACACCATATTTGTGCCCCTAAGAAAGAAAGACGCAGCCAGTCCAGCTAAGATGCGCCGTTGGTGAGGGCCCTGGTCTCCGTGCTGGGATGTGAACGGAGGAGACGCGGGCGCACCTGCCGCCCGGGGTGCTGGGGGCTCCAGTGCCTCCCCCGTGAGCTTGGAGGGACAGGCACATATGGTTTCTTCACTGGAGTTTTCAGTCTCGTGGGCTGCCAGTGGGATTGTTTGAGCCTCAGGACACGAGGGGCGCAGCCCCCTCTGATGTGTGGGACCCTGGCGTCTGTGCCCACGGGTGGGCCACGTGGTAGAAAGCGCCCCCTGGGAGACCACGGTAGGTTTGTGGAGCGGTGAGGCCCTGGGGGGGGAGCCAGGAGGGGGCCCGCCTGCCATGGCCTTCGTCTATGACCTGGGCTGCGTCCGGCGCCTGCCTCAGTTTACTTCTCTGTGCAGTGCCTCAGACTCCCTTTGGCCTGGCCTTTGCGGACTCAAAAAGGGGGAGGGGTAGCTCCTGCCCCTCCGTTACTGCCCCTCAGGGGCGGTCCTGGGTCGCCTCCAGGGTTCTGTAAGTGGCCTTCTGGGAGCTTGAAGTCCCTGTGGAATTGCCCCCTGGCCCTTTCAGGAAGGCAGCCCTGGGCGGGCCGGGGGCTTTGAGGCGGCCCTGAGCCTGGCTTCCCCTCCTGGCCAGGTGGCCCTGGACAGCCCTTAAACTCTCCCTCGGGCAAGCTGTGCTGATTAGGCACCCCTGTGCCTGGCACCATGCCCTCACCTAGCCCACAACCAGAGGTGTCCCCGCCTTCCCCGAGGGTCCTCCTGTGGGTTCCCTGCAGGCTGCGGGTGGAGTGGGCAGGCCGCGGCCCCTCCCTCCGGCTGCGCCTGGGGCTTCTGGGAGCCTCCCGACACCCGGCTTTCTGCAGCGGGCAGTGCCCCGGGGAAGGGATCCTGCCCTGGGGAAGAGGCCCTCCACCTGCTGGAGGGTGGGTGCTGACTTGGCCCTGCAGCTTGGGGCTGTCCTACCCAGCTCCCTAAGCTGTCTCAGGCAGGGTGGGGTGGCTGGGCGGTGCCCCAACCCAGGGGACAGGCCTCCAGGTGCAGGGGCAGAGCAGGGTCTGCACCTCCTCCCACAGCCTGAGTCCTGGGCCCCCTCCGTTTCCCCTTCTGGACCTCATGACTTTGCTCGTTTCATGGTAGCCCCCCTCCCACTCCCAATGTCAATCAAAGGCCCTTGGCCAGGAGCCCGGGTGTCCGGCGAGGGAAGGCCACCACCGTCCCGTCCCGAGGTGGGTGCTGGATGAGGCCAGCAGCCCACCCCGGCTGTCCCCTGCCCGCTGGTGCCCTCTGCTGCTGTGGCCTCAATGTCCTCTTGGGACCAGGGCCGGGGCTCACCTTAGTGGGTGGTCGGGGCAATGGAGCCCCAGGCCCCCACCAACCCCGCGATGGGCAGATGCGCCCCCACCATCTGTCTACACCGTGCCCCCGAAGAGTTCGTGGGAGGAAGGGGCACTGTGCTGGGGAAGAGGGGCTTCTTCTAGCCCCAGGAGGGTGGCCCAGGTGGCAGCACACCCTCCCCTGACGGGGGCCTGCCTTGGCCTGTGGGCGCCCAGAAAGCGAAAAGCAGTCAACAGAGATGGGCCACGAGTGAATTCAGACAGGGAGAGCCGCGCAGAAGGCGGCCTGGACGCGGAGATGGGAGCCGCTGGGGGCAGTGGCAGGAGCAGGGAGATGGGCGCCGGGGGCCAGAGCGGGGCTGAGCGGGGCGGGTGGGGCTGCCGCAGGGGCTCAGGTGCCTCTTGGATGCAAAGAGCTTGGGGGCCACGGCGGGTGCGGGTCTGGTCGCGCCTCAAGTCCCCTCTGGCGGCTGTGGAGGCCGTGAAGGAAGCGGGTGGGAGGCCAGGGGTGATGGGCTGGGTGGCGGATTTCAGAGAGAGTTTTGAGGTAGAGCTGATGCATCTGAGATAAAAGCCAGGACGGTGCTCAGATTTCCGACCTCCTGCGGGGGGAGGGTGGCGGGAAGACACGGAGCCCACCTGAGAGGGGACACCAGGGCCTGGAATCAGGGCCCCTGGGGAAGAGCCCCTCCCCGTGCCTCTCACCACAGGGGGTCCAGAGTGGGGACCCTGGAGCTCTCAGTGTGGGGCGACATCAGTGGCTCAGCCTGGGCGAGGGGCAGGGTGCCTGGGATGACACGCCTCTCCTCCTGTCCTCCCAGCTCCGTCCTCCCCCCCACACTGGCCATGCACCAGGTGCCAGCGCCCACCTGGCCAGCAGACTCCCACCTCCCCTCCACTGTCCTCCCTGCTGCTCTCACCTCTGTTCCCACCTTCCCCCATCCCTGACTGAGGCCCTGGGCCTCCCTCACCCCTCCTTCTGCACTTCCTCCCCAGCGCCTCCCACCCTCTTCTGTCCAAATCCTGCCCAAGCCGTGCCCCTCCCCCGGGACCACCACCCCGGACCCCCAGCCCAGCGAGCTCAGAGCTGCCGAGGTCTGCTCCTCAGGGCTGGAGGGGAGGGCAGAGCAGGGTGGGAGGCAAGGGTGACCCCCGAAAGGAGGGTGCCCCGAATGGTGAGGAGCTGTGCTCACAGCAGCCGGCCCACCCGGCGGGGCAGCACAGGCTCTTCCAGGGACCCCCCTGACCTCCTGGCTGCCCGTGTGACTCCCACTCGTTGGCCGGCTCGGGGAGAGGGGCACCGCCAGGGTGACGTGGCCTCTGTCCCGCCTGTACTGGCACTAGCTGGGTGCACAGCTGAGCTGCACAGGAGAGGGTGGCTCTGGGCACCCTGGGAGCTGGTGGGGCCGTGCCAGGCAGTGCCACGGTTTCTGGGGTGTCCCTCAGGGCTCAGCCGGACCCCTGGGCCCCGGTGAGGGGGGGGGTGCCCTGGCTTTATTGACATCATGGAGCTCCGACCCGCCGTGTTCCTGGAGGGGCTCAGAGGGAATCGTGAGGCGTATTCCGTCGTGGGGTCCGTGAGCAAGCGTCAGGGGCCACTGGGAAACGGGTGGGGAGACAGGGGCGGGGGGGGGGACATCAGCACCAGCGTGAGGGTCGTAGGTCAGCGAGGCGGGTCCCAGGTCCTCCTCCTTGAAGCAGGCTGAAACCTCCCTCCTCGGCTGTTCTCTGCTCAGGCCGTGGGCTTCGCCCCGGCCCACCCCCTCACCACAGCCTCTGCTCCCGCCGGCGCCCGTGCCCCCCGTCCCTGCGCCTCCTCCCGTCTCCTCTGCGGCCGAGGACCCCTCCCCTCCCCGCCCAGCGCAGTGCCCTGCCTGCCCGCCCGCCCTGCTGCTTGCCGCCCTGGCTGCCCGCTTCGCTCTGCTTTGCAGTGTTGTGTCGTGAGCCCGGGCCGTGCAGCCGCTGCCGCCTGTCACAGCGCACAGCGGGCTGGTCCTGACCGTGGCCCCTGCCTCCCCCAGGGCCTTCGTGTACCTGAGCAACCTGCTGTACCCCGTGCCCCTGGTGCACCGTGTGGCCATCGTCAGCGAGAAGGGCGAGGTGAAGGGCTTTCTCCGCGTGGCCGTCCAGGCCATCTCAGGTGCGTGCGGGGCGGCCCGGGCTGGCTCTGTCCCTTCACCGATGGGGCCCCTGGGTGGGGAGACCTCTGCGGGCCTCGCATGGTGGTCCGCGTGCATCCAGCCCCACCCAGGCCCCCGGCCTCCTCTGTTTCTCCCTGTGGGAGAAGCCCCTGCTGCCCGGCTCCTGGCTCCAGCTTCCTGGACTCTTCCTGGTCGGCTGGGGCCTCCGGGGCTGTGCAGGCCCGAGCCCAGGGCTGTCTGAGCCCACTCCGGCTCGCGCCTGCCACCAGGCAGCCCCAGGTGGACCCACGGAGCCAGCCTGGCGCAGAGGTGCCCCCCGCCACACCCCCTCCACCGCCATCTCTGCCCCAGGGCAGGCGCACAGACTTGCAGCCCTTAGCTCCGGCCCTGCCCACTGCAGCCCCCAAGCCTTTCCTGACTCCCCAGCATTGCCCCCTTTGGACCCCTTGACCTCTCATGTGCTGGCCTGTGTCCTCAGAGGCCATGAACACCCCCTCCACCGTGGGCCTGGCGATACAGCCCCCCTCACTGCAGAGGCAGACACCCTCGCCCTGCCTAGTCACCTTCCCAGCACCCCCTCCTGGCCGTGGGCAGCCACACAGGCCTTTGAGCCTGGGTTTGCTGCCTTGAGAATGGCGTCCGCTTTGAAGCTTCCTAGAGGCAGGAGTGCGGAGAGGTCACTGGAGAACACAGACGTGGGCGCGCTCGGCCAGAGGGCCTGGTGCTCGCACCGTAGCGGCCGTTCCTCCCTTCTCTGCCCTCGGGCCCCCGGGGCCTCCACAGGACTCTCTTTCCTCTACACGTCTCAGCAGCCCAGGCACCTTGGGGCCAGAACGGGGCAGGACAGACAGAGTGTGTGGCAGCGGAGTGTCTCCAGGCTGAGACAGGGAGGCTCAGAGTGTGAGCAACCTGGGTGGCCTGTGCTCCCACTGGACAGCTCACGCGACCCCACTCTGGATGTCTGGTCCCCCCTCGCCAAATTCTCACTACCCCGTCATTCCAGGTGCTCTTTCCACACCTCCCAGTCATGCCACCATGGTGCCGAGGCCCCTGGGGACCCAGCTGAGAAGGGGGAGCCTGGGCTCGGGGGGAGGGTGGCTCTAGGTGACAGGGATGCTGGGAGCATCTAGTGTCACCTCATGCCCCGGGGCACGCTGCCCCTGCAGCCCCCGGGGGCCTGTTCTCCCTGGGCTCTCCCTGGGCCCTTCCTGACCCGCTCAGCCCTGGTGAGTGGGTCCCCCTGAGCCGGCTGCCTTATAGGTCGACGGTCTGTGCTCGGGCCACACCTGGCATCCCCTGTCTAGTGCTGTGGTGGAGGAGAGGGAACGTTACAAAGCCACAGGGTGTTGTTTCACGGTCTCAGAAGCCACACCTGCCCCTGCCCTCCACCATGGCAGGGCTCGACTGATCCAGCCTCCCAGCACGGAGCCCGGCTGTGCACAGGCCCTGGGCCGGCCCTGGGTGATGGTGGGACAGAGCCACGGCCCCTCGGGCAGCCAGGGTGGAGAGCATGGTGGTGTTAACACCCCGACAAGGCCGCGGAACAGAGGGTTGGAGCCCCCTGGGGTCTGTGAGGTCTGCTGGGGTGGCATCTACCCAGAGTGGCTGGACTTGGGGGCCAGGGAGTCTGGGGGAAGTCAGATCTGGGGTCCTTTAGGCAGCAGGAGGAGGGTTAGGGTTTTGTCCCAAGCACAGTGGGGAACCCCAAACACTGTGAAGGACGGGGTGTGAGAGCGTGTGGGGCACTGAGTGTCCAGATGGGTGACGGTGGCGGCAGAGGGACAGGTGCGATTCCCAGAGGAAGCCAGGAGGACCTGGTGGGGCAGGCCCTGCTGAGGGGGAGGTAGGGTCCGGAGGACCCCTGGGTTCTGCTGGAGCATCTGAGTCTGGGCCGGGGCAGGTGGGGGCAGGCGGGCGGGGCTGGGGGGGAGAGGGGCAGGGGTTGAAGATTTTGTTTTGAAAATGTGGAGTTCGCGGGCCCGTCAGGGCAGGCGTGCCGAGGACGTGGCTGCCTCTGGGCCCTGGGCTAGCACAGGCTGGGGGTCAGTGTGCCCAGGACAGCGCCCTCATTCTTCCAGAGCCAGTTGACGGTGTCGGGGTTCCCCCCAAAGTGGGTCAGAGCCCGTCCTGGTTCCCGTGCCCTCCCCGCACCGGGCAGCTCTGCCACTCCCCCCGGGGGGCCAGCTGGGCCCTGACCATCTGCTCCGTTCCCGTTTCAGCCGACGAAGAGGCCCCTGATTACGGCTCCGGCGTCCGCCAGTCGGGAACCGCCAAAATCTCCTTTGACGACCAGCATTTTGAGAAGGTAGCGTGCAGGGGTGGTGCAGCCATGGGCGCCACTGGACAGGCCTGCAGCCCGCCCTCAGCACTCCGGGCCTCACTCGGAGGAAGGGCAGACGGTGTCTCCCTCCCAGGGCTCCCATCTGTGCTCTCAGGCGAGAGGGCGGAGGAGGGGGTCCTGCTCGGTGCCCCCCCGGGGCGGGCAGCTCCTCCTCTCTCCTCTAGGCCCCTTCCTAACCTGACACCACCCAGCCACCCACCGCCCCACCCTGAACCTCAGTGCTTCTGAGGCTTTGGGCCCAGAGCCCCCCAGCGATCGCGGTCCCTATCGGAGGGGTCGTCAGTGCTGGGGATGCACAGGAGGGGCAGAGGGCATCAGGCAGAGAGTGCGGGGGCACGGACGAGGCAGCAGAGGCTATGGGGGGACCTGGCCAGGGCCCTGAAAGCCAATGGGAGAGTCTCACTGCGTCCTGCCCACAGTGGGGAGGAGCTGCGGGAGGGGTACTGACTGGGGAGAGGGGACAGAACTTAAGGCCAGAGACCGTTTCCCACCTTCCTTTCCCACTTGGTAGGCTAATATAGGCCGTGAGAGCATGAGAGACAGGCCTGGGGAGGTGGGTGCCCGCCCACGGCAGGGTAGTCCTGGCACGAGGCTCCCGGGGTCCTCGACGCCGCTCTAGTGGCCGCACCCAGGCCGGCTCTGTCTGACTGTGTCCCCTGCCCACACAGTTCCAGTCCGAGTCCTGCCCCGTGGTGGGGATGTCCCGCTCGGGGACCTCCCAGGAGGAGCTGCGGATCGTGGAGGGCCAGGGCCAGGGTGCTGACGCGGGGCCCTCGGCCGATGAGGTCAACAACAACACCTGCTCAGGTGGGTCCCCGCGGCTGCTGGGACAGGCTCTGGGACACGGTCCAACCCCGCGAGGGCCTGGAGCTCCTCCTCGCCCCCCCCCCCCGCACCCCCTCCCCGCCTCTTAGCCGGCACAGGCAGTGAGGCCCAGCCCTTGAGCCCGGGCTCTAGCCCCTTCGGGTCCCGCCATGCCCCTCTGCCCTTGGCTCCCAGCAGCAGTGACCCCGGAGGGCCTCCTGGACAGCCCCGAGAAAGCCGCCCTGGACGGGCCCCTGGACGCCGCCCTGGACCACCTCGGCCTGGGCAGCACCTTCACCTTCCGCGTGACCGTCCTGCAGGCGTCCAGCATCTCCGCCGAGTACGCCGACATCTTCTGCCAGTTCAAGTGAGTCTCGTACCGGGGCCGGGCTGTGCGGGTGGGTCTTGGCAAGGTGCGGGGGCACCTGGTGACCCCCGGGAGGCTGTGGGTCCCCGTGTCCAGGCCCCACACCCGCCGAACGTCTCCTCCCCATTCACAGCTTCATCCATCGCCATGACGAGGCCTTCTCTACGGAGCCCCTGAAGAACACGGGGAGGGGGCCCCCACTCGGCTTCTACCACGTCCAGAACGTACGTCCCTAGAGCCCCTTCTCCCCCCCATGGCCGGCCCCTCCTGGGCCCGGGGCCTCGTGCAGCCTCCCCCAGCTTCATTCATTCTCTCCAACACGGCTTCTCCTTCCTCTGAGCACCAGCCCTGTCCTGGGCACCGGGGGCCTTGGTGGGTTTAAGACTGGGGGTGGGGGCAGATCAGAGCCCCCGAGGGCTCCCTGCAGCGAGCCTTGGGCAGATGTGGACGTGCAGTGTCTGGGGTGCCCGGTGAGGCCACCCTGGACTGGCGCTGGGGCTGAGGCCGGGGCAGGGCACGCGGAGAGCTGCAGGGTGCCCGGGCAGACGCCCGAGAGGCCAGGAGAGCTCCGGGCCGGGGAGTGTCTCCAAGCCAGGCTGTCAGGAGAGCAGGGACTTGCTGCTGTGAGGCAGGAAAATGGGGCCATGACGGACACTGTCGGGTGGCGAGGCCTCAGGGGCCCGGCCAGGGGATGCGAGTTTGACCCTGGCCGCCCGGCTGTGGGTGTGTAGCCTAAGCAGGCACAGGGGCCTTGCTCAGAAGGGCCTTGCGAGCTATGGCCTGTCCTGACCCTCGGGAAGAGGGGCTCCCGTGGTTTCTAAGGCAGGGAAATGGGCCAGGGCTGAAGGTGTGCTTGGTGGACTCCTTTCCTGGCTGCTCCGGCAGAGCCCCACGCCCTGGGGCTTCAACAGCAAAGACTTAGCAGCTCTCGGCCCTGGAGGCTGGAAGCCCGGGACCCAGGTGGGCAGGGCTGTTCCTCTGAGGCTGTGATGGAGGGTCCGTCCTTGGCTCGTAGACGGCCGTCTTCTCCCTGTGTCCTCACGTCATCTCTCCGTCCGTACCTGTGCCCCAATGTCCCCTTCTTACGAGGACACCAGTCATGTTGGATTGGGGCTCCATTCTAACTTGATCACCTCTGTGAAGACCCTGTCTCTAAACATACGTGTGGGGGGCGGTTAGGACTTCAGCCTATGAATCAGGGGGGCACAATTCAACCCACAACTCTTGGTGAGTGGGCGAGGGCCCGAGGAGGGTCAGACCGGATCACAGAGGCCCCTCATCCAGCTCTGTGTTCTGAAGGAGCAGCTGAGCCTAGGGGCCCCCAGCCCCATCTGTCCCGGGGAGCGAGCCCTAGGGCCGCTGCCCGGTGGCCTGTCCACTGGAGTGTGACAGTAGGAGAGGTGGGCTGGACAGACCTAGGCAAGGAGCACTGCCCCCGTCGTGGGCACAGGTCAGCCCGGCTGGGGGTCTCCAATGTGGACCTGGAGTGCCGAGTCCTTTGTGGGGGCTGAGCGCTCACCTCTGTGCCTCTCCCTCCCCCCCTCGACCACACCTCCCTCCAGATCGCCGTGGAGGTGACCAGGTCCTTCATCGAGTACATCAAGAGCCAGCCCATCGTGTTCGAGGTCTTCGGTCATTACCAGCAGCACCCATTCCCGCCCCTCTGCAAGGACGTGCTCAGGTCAGCGGCCCCGGGCCGGGGGGTCAGGGCCTCTCCACCCCCTGGCCAGCAGGGTCGGCCCGTGCCCCGGACAAGCCTGGTGCGGCAGCTGCAGAGCCGTGCGCCTCCCACCGCCTATCTCCCGCCTACGGCGGCCGGTTTCCCGGGTCGGCAGGACCCAGAGCGGGTCAGACATGACCCCTGAGGACCGAGGAGGGGTTTCTTAAAGACCGTCGCTGTCAGAACCTCAGCCTGGGCTGGGCATGGACCGCGTACTGGGGCCGAGGGGAGCCGGGTGCTGGGCTGGAGGAGGCCGGGGTGGCCCACGGGGAGAGGGCTTCTGTGGCCCCCCGAGAACTCCGCCGAAGGGTCCCTGAGTCCTCAGCTCCGCAGACTGAACGAGGCCCTTCGTCTGCTCCCTCGTTGCTGCAACCTGCCGGGGGCTCACTCGATGGGGGGCGAGTGCCCTCTGGGCCACCCCACCCAGAGCGTGGGGGGAACAGCCGACGGGCGTCAGGGGCAGTGGGACCCCCTGTCGCCACCTCCATCTCCCCTCAGCTGACACGAGGGGCCCAGAGCAAAGCATCTGGGGTGTCGAGGAAAGAGAGGGCCCAGGGAGGAGCTGCTTTTGGGGCACTTGGCCCCAGGAGCCTTGTCGGTCCTTGAGAGTGCCAAGGGGGCCCTGTCCCGGGAGCCCCTGGCCCTTGCCCCGGTTCTCGGGGCCTCGTGGGGCCTCGCAGGTGGGCTCTGGGGTCCTGAGGGGCCCCCCTCTCGCTCCGAGCTGGTGGAGGGCCTGAGACCGGGCCTTCCCCGGGCCTTGTGGGAGGGAGGGAGGGAGGGAGACCCGGGCTTGGCGCTGGCAGCCTGCTAGCCTCCCCGGCCAGCCCCTGCCCTCGGCTGCCCGCTCCACCTTGGGGGCCCGCAGACACCAGCCTCTGGTCACCTCACCCGGGTGCTTCTGTCTCCACAGCCCCCTGAGGCCCTCGCGCCGCCATTTCCCACGGGTCATGCCTCTGTCCAAGCCAGGTAGGCGGGGCCCTCCTGGGTGCACGCCTGGGCGAGTGGGTGCCCGTGTAGGCGGCCCCTCCAAGGCCGAGTGCTGTCCTGGTGACAGGTCGGTGCTCTTCCGGCCTCCTGGGGCCACCCTGCCCCTGCTGGCCTCATGGGGTCCCCATGGAGTAAGGGGCTCACACCGGAGCGGGGGGCACAGGGCGAAGGTACAGGGACGTCCTTTACCCCTCGGCATGCACAGGGCAGCCGGGCAATGGTCGGGGGTGCCTGCCCAGAGCCCCGTGAGGCTGCCCGGAGCCGACAGTGGGGGGCAGGGGCTTCAGCGGGGCAGGGACATCTGAGCTGAACCTCGCAGGCTGGACGAGGTTTGGGGTGGAAGGCAGACCCGGAAGCTGGTCCACAGGAGGCTGAGGCTGGTGGTGGCCAGGCCAGTGGGGTCCCTGGGCGGTCAGCACCTTGCCTGGCGCCCAGAGCCCCTCCCCGGGAGCAGGAGCCACTTCCTGGGAGATCGGTTGGGTTTTAGTTAAAAGGGGTTATAGGGCTTTTTCCTGCCCTCACGACAAGGGCTGAAGTCCAGGGGTACAGTCTCTAGAAGGCTGGAGCGTCAGCACGGGGGCGGGCGGTGCAGCTGAGGCCCTCACTGTCCAGGAACCCGCCTGGAGGTCGGGGGGGCGTTGTCCCCGGCATGGGTGCCCGAGACGGGCCGTGCAGGAGGTGCATCTGCTGCTTCCTGGGCCACGTCCGCGGTGACCCTTGCGTACCCGCCCCCGAGCCCCTGTAAGATGGTGGTCTTCAGACTGAGGGCACCGCAGGGGGACGCACGCCAGCCCCTCCAGGCCTGCAGACCACTCGTGGACATTATTCTTGGCCTCTCTGTGGGTCTTAGGTTGGCCCCTTGTGTTTCCTGGGCTGTTCAGCCTTCCCTGCAGCCTCCAGGGGGACACCCAGAGGCACATTTGTGGTGGAGCGGTGGGGCTCAGGTGGGACTTGATGGGCAAGGGGCTGTGGAGGGCAGTGGGAGCCGAGGGCCGGGGCCCCTTGAGCTGGAGGCAGGTGCTCGGGCTGGTGTGGCGGCTGAGGGTGAGGGTGGTGTAGCAGAGGGTCCTGGGCGGGTTGTGTGGCCTCCGAGCAGGCAGGGCTCCTCCGTCCTGCTGCTTCTCTGTGGCTCAAGTACCGCCCTCTGCAGAGCCCGTGCCAGGTGCGCGTGGCTGAGCGCTCCTCCCGCGGGGCACAGAGAGGCCCACGGTCACGTCTGTCCCCAGGCCCATTGGTACCCAGAGCGGGGCGTACCCTGGGCCCTGGGGAGGGGTCCGCTGGTGCTTTATCTTGGAGGGCAACGACCTCACTGCTCCTGAGGCGTCCCCTCCCCGGCCTCCCCTCTGAGCGCACCCTCGGCACGTGGCTTCTCAGTTTCCCACCGGTGTGTGCTTCTCCCCTGTCGCCCCCAGTGCCCGCCACCAAGCTCAGCACGCTGACGCGGCCCTGCCCCGGGCCCTGCCACTGCAAGTACGACCTGCTGGTCTACTTCGAGATCTGCGAGCTGGAGGCCAATGGCGAGTAAGTCCCAAGGCTGGTGCAGCCCACGCTGGGGATGGGCTGGGGTCCTCTGGGGTTGTGGGGCAGGGAGGGGTCCGGGGGCTGGGCCAGGTGGCACGTGGTGGCACTCTGGTCTCCCCGGACCGGGCCGCCCCACCTTTGATCTGTTTTCCTGTTTTCACCCCTTCTGCTCCTGGGGGCCGGGTGTGTGTGCTGTGGGTGGGGGGCAGGGAGGAGGGGCGCGGCCCTCAGCTCTCACGTCTCTCTCCCAGTTACATCCCTGCAGTGGTGGACCACCGTGGCGGGATGCCGTGCATGGGGACCTTCCTGCTTCACCAGGTGCGAAGCGCTTGCTGCTCCCACTGGCCTCCAGCGCCCCCTCCCCCAGGGACCCCAGGCCATCTGACTGTCTTCTCTCCTGGTGCCTCGCAGGGCATCCAGAGACGGATAACTGTGACTCTGCTGCACGAGACAGGCAGCCACATTCACTGGAAGGAAGTGCGAGAGCTGGTCGTGGGTGAGTGGTGCGGGGCGGGGGGGGGGCCTCGGGGGAAGAGCACAGACCACGCCCTCACCCCGGGCCCTGGCCGGACGCCTGGGTTCTAACCGCGGCCCTGCCCCTGTTGCCGTGTGCCTCAGCCCCTCACCTGAAGAGAAGGGCTTGGCCTCAGGTGATGAGTCCAGATTTCTATTTAATCGCTGTACTAACTTGCTAGGGCTGCCGTAACAAAGTACCAAAAACTGGTGGCTTAAAACCACGGAAGTGTGTCCTGTCCCCGTTCTGGAGGCACAAGTGCTGTGACACAGGTGTCAGCAGGGGCCACGCTGCCTCGAAACCTCAGGGGAGAATCCTTTCTCGCCTCTTCCAGCTTCTGGTGGTTGGTAGGGACTCCTCGGCTTGTAGACACATCACCCCCGCCCTCCGTCTTCACAGGGCCTAGATACTTAGATGACGGCCCACCTGACTCCAGCGTGATAGCATCTCGACTGATCACGTCTGCCAAGGTCCTATTTCCAAATGAGGTTCTGGGGGTCAGGGCTGCAACACGTCTTTCTGGGGGGACACAGTTCAACTTACAGAGATCACCCAGGAGCTTAGACGCTTTCCTTCTGTAACTTCATGTCCTGAACTCTTTCATCTACTGGAAACATTTCCTTTGTTGATTCTTTGTAAAGAATTTGTCTTCCCAGTTTCCGTTCAAGGATAGGGACCACGGTCCATTCCAGCGTGTCATCAGCATGAAGCTGCCCGCGCCACCCTGGCCTGGAGCTGAGGGCCCCGTGGAGGGCCCACCCTGGGGCATTGCTGTGGCCGGGGGGCAACAGCTCCAGGGCAGTGTCCCTGGGGCTTGTAGGGGGCGTTCTGAGGGTGTAGTAACAGGACTGTGACAAGGGACCCATCGCCTGCACCCGAAGTGCAGGATTGTGGGCAGGGAGGTTCTGGGGGCCCCAGGACAAACGCTTTTATTTTAGACGTTTCGCATCTATTTTCACACAAATCAGAAAAACAGTCGAACAAGCACACACACCCCCATTTCAGATGTTGTTTAGGGTGAGTCTAAAAACTCTGCATCAATTTAAAGAGAAAGATGAAGCAGACCCCCAGCTCGCTCGCGGACGTACTGCACGTGGGTGGGAAATGATGCCGCCGTCACCCCGAGCCTGTTCTGCCCAGAGGGAAGGGTCTACACCACCTACTGACCCGGCTCTGGTCCTGATGGAACCTCTCCCTGACGCCCCACCCCATCACCCTCATCCCTAGGACTGTGTCTGCACAGAGGCTGCACCCTCGCTGGCCTTGGGGAGCCAGGCCCTGGTCCTGGGATCCCACCTTTCTCTCTGCTCTCCGGGCCACATCCCATTTGAAAATGCAGACAGGGGTGTTCGCCTGTGTGTGTGGTGAGGGGATAAGGGTGCTATTGAAGGGGATTCGGGGAGATGCTGGCAGGAACACCAAGGCCCCCACTCTTGGGCTAAGGGGGTTGGGCTTTGCCGCTCTGGGCTGCATCAACCTCGCAGACCTGAGTGGACGTCTCGGCCTGACCGGGGCTCCGAGGGCATCAGTTTGGCAGGTGGAGCCCTGGGCAGACTCTGAGCCGACAGAGTCCCTCCGAAGAGCCTCCGCTGAAGCCCACGCCCGGGGGGTGAGGAGGGGTGAGGCTGGCACACGGGCCAGGTCTCTTCCTGCAGCTGAGCTGCCCCAGCAGGGGCCGTGTGGCCCTCCCCTGCCTTAGCCTCCAGCCATGGGGGACACACCCTTCGGGGACACGTGGCTGGAGGCCCACACCTGCCTTCTCCCAGAGCTCAAATGTTGCTAGAGGCTTCCAGGAAGTGGAGCCCCAGCGTGTGGGCTCAGAATTCTGTCCTGGTGCTGGGTCTTATTTCAACTCTGCATGGGGGGCGGGGAGGAGGGGAGAGGCCAGGGATTCCTTTCTGGCTTAACAAAGAAAAGTCAGTATTTGTTTATTCCTCGAGGAAGCAGAGCAGTGAATTTAAGGATCTCTACAAGGCACGAAATTATTACTGAAACCACCAGGAGGGAGTTCTGACTCAGTGGTTCTGGTGCCGTTTACAGTCACTCCCGCCCCCCCACCCAAGTGCGGGCGCCTTGGAGGGCGCTGTTGGAGATGCTTCTCACAGGGAGAGATTTTTGACGCAGATAGTGTTTCTTTTCTTTCTTTTTTCCTTTTTTTAAGTGTAAAGAGAAAAGGGAACATTTTCTCCTTCTCATCTTGCTAAGATTTCCTTTTCCAGCTGGTAGGAGGGCCTGTGAGTTCTAGGCTGAGGGACTGGCGTCTATCAGTTGGGGTGGGGGAGATACTGCGAGAGTTATCGATGGCTGAAAGACTGAGAAACTCAGAACTTAGGCCGCAGGGAAAGATGGCAGGACGCCCACTGACAGGCGGCACCACGTGCAGGTGCAGACCCCGTGTGGGCCTCCCTGTCCCCCACGCCCCCGGTGTTGCCTTTTGTCAGGTGCTCTTGTGGTCACGTGGGGAGCCACGTGATGTGGCCTCACAGGTGGAGGCTCCGGCCCAGGCAGAGGCGGAGAGCAGGGACCCAGCCCCCCACCTGCCCTCCTGGGTAGTGACACACGGCCTGTCCCCTTTCCTGTAGGTCGCATCCGAAACACCCCGGAAACCGACGAGTCCTTGATCGACCCCAACATCTTGTCCCTCAACATCCTCTCGTCTGGATACATCTACCCGGCCCAGGACGACCGGTGAGTCCCCTGGGGGCGGCGGCAGGGCTGCTCCCGACTCCCTGGAGGAGGGTCCGCGTCAGAACCCAGGGTGCGTTCTCAGCTCATCCACTTGGCCCCCCCGGCCACAAAGGGCCCAAAGCTTTCCAAGCCCTCCTTTCTGAGCCCTCCGGGAAGGGGTGCAGGGAGGGGTGCCTGTGGCCGCGACTTCCCCCGGCAGGATTGTCTGCGCACCGTCCTGTCTCTGGCTCACTCGGTCACCCGACAGAGGGGCCGCGTGGGAGTTGCCGGCGGATGAGCTGGGTCCTGTCCTTGGGAGTGTCGTGGGTGGGTGGGCGGGATGGGGCAGTGGGAAGCATGGGGCGAACAAACAGGTTGGATTTCCCAACCACACCACTGCGGGCAAGTCTGTACCCTCTGGCAGGGGTGCTGGGGCCGAGGGTCCTGGAGTTCAGGGTCGAGCTGGGTCGGCAGTCTGGCGTCCCGGGGTGGAGGTCTGCCCAGCGGCACAGCTTAGCCCACGCTCCTCGTCACTGGGCTGTTCCTTTCCAAGCTCCCAGGTGATGGCCGAGATCTCTGCCACCTGGGCAGTCTGAGCTTGACCGCATCAGGGTGGGTGGATGTGGCCCCCCGGCAGCCCCTGACAAAGCAGGCCTGTCGGGGTTTGCCAGGCCGGGCGGGGATGTGAGGCGGAGGCCTGTGGGGGCCCGGCCGGGGCAGGCAGCTCATGACTGAGAGCCGCCCTCCCGGGGGGAAGGTCGGAAGGCTTGGCTGTGTCTGAGGTGCTGCTTTCTGGGGCTTCGGGGACACGGGGAGGGCGCTCCCGAGTCCCGAGGGCTCGACCAGGTCCAGGAGGAGGAAGCCGAGAGCTGACCCTGCGCTCGAGCCATGGGCGTCTCCGCGGGCTTCGCGGCTGTGTTTGCAGGAAAGATGTCTTGAGGGCTGGGTGTGCTCAGAGCGGAGTGCGGGCACCCCGCACGTGCAGGGAGAACTGGATCCATAAGGATAAAGGGTCCTGGGACCAGACGGAGCTCAGTTTCTTTATTGACTCCCTGGAGAGTGGCTGTAGGGAACCATCCCTTGGTGTGGGCAGCTTGGGGGGGTGGGGGCAGAGACCCCAACAGGGGCAGGTGTGGCTCTGGTTCCAGCCCTGCCCCAGAACCTTCCAGAAGAAACTCACCCTGCACTCATGTCCAGAGCGGGGAGGGATTGGGTGAAGAATGCTGGGGGGGTGTTCTCACAGGGGCGGGGGACACCATGACAGGCAGGCGGGGCTTACCTCGGGGCAGGGGCCAGTGAGGCACAGTGCGGGGGCAGGGGGGGCCTGTCGCCATGAGAACACACCCTGGGGACATGGCAGAGAGGGCCTGGCGCCCACCCGCACGGGCTGCCTGCAGGGACACGGGCCGCTGTGCCCGGGCCGTCAGGGGTGGGGACCCCGGGGGAGGTGGGGCCCGGGAGGGCTCTGTCTGCCATGCTGAGTGCCGCTTTGGACCTGGAGAATGACCTCAGCATTCCCCTGACCTCTGACCCTTCCTTTGCCTCGGCAATTCCTAGATTCTTGGGGCAAGAAAGGGTAGGGGGGGGAGAGAAGGGGGCGGGGGTGCCTCTGGGCCTCCCGCCCTACACGGTCTCCCTGCTCTGAGGAGGGAGACTGCGTTTCTGGGTTCCCGTCCTCCGGCCAGCACGGCTGCTGCAGGGCACAGGGGGACCTCGTCCTGGGCTCAGTCCCCAGGCAGTGGAGGGGACAGCTGCTCCTGGCTGGACCTCGGGTCAGTGGGGCTTTGGCTAAAGAGGTTCTCCCTGTTCCTGGAGGCCAGAGGACCCATCGCTGATGGGCTCTGTCCTGTTCCCTGGGGGCTGTGGGCAGTGAGGCCGGCCAGCTCTGGGCTGGTCCGGGCCCTCACGGCTCAAGGACGTCCTTGGGCTGGGGCTGTAGTCCTTGCCCGTAGCTGCTTTGCCCCCTGCTTGGCTTCTGCCCGTGCCGTACGGCCCCAGGACTGCCCCGACCCCAGCCCGGCCTGGAAAATCTCAGGGACGCTCCTCGGGGGGTGGCCCCCGGCAGGAGACATTCTGAGGCTTAGCTGGCCAGGCCGGCAGCTCCTCCCGAGGGCCCTCGTCTTCCCTGGACGGTGGCTGACGTCCGCGGAGCCGCGATGGGCCCGGCTGCTCTGCGGGGGACCCGGCAGGCCCTTCTGCCCCCAGAGACGCTGAGGCTCAGAGACCCAGGTCTGCTTGGGCCTCGGAGCCTCAGCTGCCCACCCGCTTTGCCGCGGCCTCAGCCTCCTCCCCGCTCAAAGGTGCCGCGCTTTGCAGCCTCCCCGGCTCAGAGTGGGCCTGGGGCCGCGGACGGCTTCTCCCCGCGCCGCCCCGCCCCTCTGTGGCCACGGACGGCTTCTCTCCGCGCTGCCCCGCCCTCACTAACCTGTGGTTGTTTGTGTTTTGCAGGCAGTTTCTTGATTCGGACATGCCTAGGTACCATTTGCGCCCCTTGGTCTCCTTCCAGCCTCGCCTCCCACCCCCGCAGCCCTGAGATTTCATTTCCGCTTTTTGGATTCCTTCCACACTTGCTCACCTCTCCCTGCCGTCTCTCCCATCTTCTCCTTTCATCTTATTTCCTTTTGTATTTCTCTCTTCCTACTGCTTCCTTCCCCGTCACCCACCCCTGGCTGCGTCCCTTCTGCCCCCACTCTTGATTTTGGCCGCTTTGGTAGTTTCCTGCCCTCGGTAGACACTGGCTGACTTCCTGCTCCCCTCCCCCCCACCCCACCCCTGAGCCTTGCCCGTCCCTGCACCCCAGCGGGAGCACCCGCATGCAGGCTGGCCAGCCAGGCCCACTCCCCGCAAAGTGAAAGAGAAAAGAGGGAGGGGGGAGGGGCCGTAGACAGGAGCAGCCCGGCTGAGATCCCCTCGCTCTGCGCTTCCCAGGCCTGGGTGCGAGCCCCTTGACTGGCCAGGCGGCTGGCTCCAAGCGCACACCCTTTTTGGAAGTAGGTGGGTGGGCCCAGGCTCTGGACGCGCTCGGGTGGCCCCAGGTCCAACCCCCCGAGGCACGGGCTCCTGGGCCGGGGACAGCGGATCCCTCGCGACTCAAGTGAGGCCCTGGCGCGCGGTGACTGGGTGCAGGGTCCTTGAGACCCTGGGGGTGGACAGCCTCACGGTCCCTAATTCAGACTTTGTCCGTGAGACTCTAGTCTGTTCTGAGCGGAGGGTCAAGGCCGTAACTGTCTTGCCAGGCTGGGCGGCAAGGGAGGGAGAGGCTTCTGGGGGCCAAGCCGGGGCGGGCAGCTCATGGGTCCCTGTGGATTGTGGCCAGAGCTTGGTGGCCCTGGGGGTCACTGTTTTGAAGGATGAAAGGAGCGGCAGGAAGGCTTCCAGTGCCGATGTTTGAGGCTTTAAGCTGCGGGGAGGGGAACGGGTGGCACCTGCCCCTTTGTGAGGGGGGAGCCCCAGGACCAGGTTGGGGGCACAGCAGGACGTTCGGAGGCCGTGTCCTTGTCAGGTCATGGGTGTGGTGTGTCAGGACAGATGGTCACTGTGAATGTGCCCCGGGCAGTTGTAGCTGAGGCCCCCTGGGGCAGTGAGCAGACTGTGGTTCCTGTCGGCGTGTGCCCGAGGACGTACGCACCCACTCCAGGAGCAGATCCTTGCCCTCCCTGGGGACACGCAGCTGGGTGCGGCCGAGACCTGGTCAAGGAGAAAACGGCAGTGGACTCTGTACCAGGGGAGGGTCACAGCCCTGCGGAGCCCAGAGCAGGGACCTGCCTCTCGGGCAGCCCAGAGGGCCTGCTGGAGGTGGCAGCTTACCAGCTGGTCCTGGAGGTGGAAGTCTGCCGGGTCTCAGAAGGCGCTGGGGCAGGATCCCATCGGCTCGGGTTCATCCCTGAAGGGGTCCCGATGTAGGGGCTGTTTCCCTGATGAGTGGAAACTTCCAGGCCCATCAGTACGATCGCACGGGGGTGTGTGGGCATTCTGTTCAAGTTTGCGTTTCCACAAGCAGCCCAGCATGATAGAGGGTGTTCAGGCTGGTCCTGGACACCCCCCTACAAATACCTCATGCCTCCAGGAGGGTTCTGGGTAAAATGGAAACATACCCTCGGGCCAGGAGGAGACATGGCACCAGGAAAGGAAGGGGGAGCCCCTCCTTCCCGGCAGGGCCTCCTTCGCCAGCCCCTAGACTTCAGGAGGACCTCACCCCTGCACCCGAGCAGGGGGCCCCAGCCCCCAGTTTCAGAGGTGGGCTCATCGGCCCCCAGTGGACTTGGCCCGAAGAGGAGGCTTAGGGCGCTCAGAGGGGTGAGGGGTCAGCACCCCAAGACTCGGGCTGGTGCCTGCTTCATGGGGCTGTGTTTTGCGGGGCAGGAAACCACTGTGGTGGGTGGTACTGGGGACTAGCAGAGTCCCCAGTACTGGGGACACTGGCAGTGCACGGTGACCCCCACCCATCCCATCTGGAGTGGGGTGGGGACTGGGGCTCTACCGACTGGGCTGGGGCAGCCTGGCTGTGAATGTGGACAAGTGGCAGAATCTTCTGGAACCTTGGTTTCCTTCCGCCTCAGGATGGGGATTTTATTAGGGCCTAAGGTTGTGATGTTCAATGAGATGAACGTGGAAAGCTCTCAGCAGGGGTCTTGCGTGTGGAACTTCATTAATGTAAGTTGTGTGGTTATTTTCACTACTACCTCGTTAGTATTTAATTTAAAATACTCGTACTTAATTTAAAACACATACCTCCTGAGCAAAAGCCTGTTTCTTCTAACCACTCCAATTTTGCCGAAGGGGCCCCACTTAAATACCAGGGACTCACGCTCACCTTGCGGAGCCCCCGAGACACGCAGGAGGGGTTGTGACACAGCCTGTGACCCATGAAGAGCTGGGTCAGACCTTCCACGCTGTCCGCGCCTCTTACCCCAGCTCACGCTCCTGCCCAGGGCTCGGGTTTCCACCCGCCTGGAGCAGAAAGGGTCCTCATGACCCTTTAAAGCACAAAGGTGTTGAGGAGAAGGCTGGGGGACACTGGCAGTGCATGGTGACCCCCACCATCCCACCAGGCGCGGGATCTGATTTCCCCAAACAGGTGGCCCAGGTGCCCCAAAGGCTACTCCAGCCTCCCCGGAAGGGCCCAGATGTGGGATCTTGTTGAGTTTCCCCTTCTGTCCTGCCATGCTGCGCCACTTATGGGGCCATGACCCTCCCTCACTCATTCATCCATCTGTCACATGTGAGCCACGTTCTTTGGGGTGTTAGAAAGGGGGATTAAAGACTAAGACCGGAACAGTCAGTCCCCAGGAAGCTCAAAGCCTGGCCCGGGGGTTCGCTTGTCCCCTCATCCCCTCGATCCTCCGTCCCCTGTGTCCCTCTGGTCTAAGAGCTCGCTCTGCGAGGTGGGTGATGCCACTTGGCCGAGCACGTGTGGCATCCAGACACAGCAGAATTCCTGAGGTTTGAGGCCGTTCCACTGCTCTTAGCCGCGTGGGCACGTCTTGGGATCACGGTCCCCACCGGACAGGAGGGCTGCCCTGGTTGCAGTCCAGGGGCTCAGTCCTGGAAACCTGCCCATCAGATCACCACCCCCAAGAACCTGGGCCACTCCTGCAAGTGTGACACTCTTTCGAGAAACATAGTTCCCAGAGCATCACGAGTTTCAGGTTGAAACCTCGAGCGTGGGGTTTAATTTTCAGATTCTCGGCGGACCCATTCGCCTTAGGATGCCCGCCACGCCGGCCTGTTGCTGCACGATGGCTGTGACGCACGTCAGAAGTTTAAACGAGCTCTGATGGGCCGTCGGCAGCAGGCGTGGTAGAGTCTCATACAGAATGACCAGGTGCTCGTGTCGAGAGCCCTGAGATTCCATCACCTCCCACCCGGGCAGCCCAGGGCCTCCCGCGGACCCACACGTGCTCACAGGCAGGGTTCCCGCTCCACCAACCCCGGGGAAAACGAAACAGCTGCAGCCTACTTGTGGCAGGACAGAAAAGATGTTTACAACGTGTGGCATTTTCTTCGTCAACAAAACTTTCTGAGTTTTCAGGTTTTCCCCGTGTGGGTCCTCGCTTGTTTGAGCATCATGCTCTCGTCCCAGAGCTAATTTGGGGTGGTTCTGTTTCCGGGGTCTGCTGCCTGACCCCTTTGGCTGGAGGAGAGCCGCCAGACAGGCCTCCTCGTCCAGGAACCCCTCCCTCCCAGGCTTGGAAGGCTCGCTTGGAGTCAGGATGTCAGCCGGAGGCTCCCGGAAGTGGACCGGAGGTGTCTGAGTGGGGGACTTCTCCATGCTGGGTCCCCACTCTGCTGCAGAGGGACTGTGTTGATGGGCATTTTCCGTCCGGCTGGGGGCCCTGCAGGAACCCCCTGGGGCTCTGCTGTGGGTGCAGGCTGGCCTGCCTGCGGCCCCTTTCTTTAAAACGGGGTCCCAGGGCACGGCACGCAGAGGGAAGGGCGAAGGACCAGGATCCATGGTGGAGCCTGGCACGGCCTCGCTGGAGGGAGGGACTGGCCACTTTCCCCAGAATGGGCTGGATGCAGAGGGTCCACAGTATGACGGTGCTGAGCCGGTGGTGAAGCTCTGATGCTCTGCCCTTAAGGTGGCCCCACCCCAGCGTTTCTGCTTCCGTGAGTGCGGGGGCCCCGGAATCTGCATTTCTGATCAGTTCCCGGTGGTGCAGATGCTGCGGGTCCAGGGACCCCAAGTCTGGGCCACACGTTCCCCTTGAAAGTGTACCTGGGGGGCCGACTGAACTTCGCTCAGGTAGAGTGAGCAACGCCGCAGGGGAGGGGCGCCTTCCGGGTGACCTGACCCTAGAGGGTCCGCTGGGGCTGCTCACAAGTCGGTCCTGGCGTGGTCTCCCTGCAGGCCAGGCACCTCCGGGAGGCACCGCGGCTCCCTCTCAGCCCGCTGGGTCTTAGTTTCCTGCCATGTGACACCCGGCCCAGGGGGGCTGCTTGGGTCCCACGTCGGTGGGCTGCCGCCCTCCCGCCCTGCTGGGCTGGGCTGGGTCCTCACGCCCCGAGCACTTGCGGCGGGAAGGAAGCCGGCAGCGTCCTGTAGCGACATTTTAGGCAGGTGGACAGAGGTGGCAGCGCTGAGCCAGGCCCGGGGCCAGCGGGAGGCTTTGGGGCTGGCCAGCCTGCCAGGGCCGGGGCCTCAGGCTGGGCCGTGCCCAGGGTGCGGTTGGGCCTCCTGGGGAGAGGACTTGTAATAACAGTAATGCCTCCCAGGCCTGTCCTCAGCTCCTCCCCGGCTTACTTAACCCGCAGGATGTCTCAATGAGGAGGGGCAGTGACTGCCCGTCATTGGTCCAGGAAGCAGGGCACAGAGGTGTCTGCTGTCAGCCCGAGGTCACGTGCTGTGAAGTGGCATTTGGAGCTGGGCTGTCGGGGGCGGGGGGCGGGGGGGGCATTTGTTCTGAGCTGCGCTGCAGCGGGCCTCTGGCTCTGTCCGCAGACCTGGGGCATTTGCGGACCCCTGGGACAGAGGGCATCCCTCTGGGTCTGGGTGGCAGCTCCAGGTGCGCCCGGCTGGTCCTGCTGGAGATGGACCCAAGGCTCTCCCTGTGGACACAGGGGAAGGGGTGTCTGCAGGTCCCCGGGCTGGGGCTTAGAGTGGGCCCCACCCACAGGGAGCCCCCCACCCCCGTGGGCCGCGTCTGGGCCCCACGAGACGGCAGTCAGCAGCTCCGCGGCTGGTGTGGCCCAGCCCCACCTGCTCCGTATCAGTTAGCTGGTACCTGGCCGGGTGACGGTGCTCGTTCTGACATGTGAATTTCTTCTGTGTGTGTACGTGTGTGTCCTGGCTGCCACCGCCTTTAGCGTTTCGTTCGGAAATGACACTAGGTACAGCTCACTTTTCTCTTCTGCGCTCGCTCGGTCTGTCCTCTTCTGACTTTCAATTTCCTTTCTCCCCCGGTGTCTCCCCGCTCTCTCTGCCCATTCTCTGGTTACCCCATTGTCCTCACGTCCTGCCTCTGGAACTTTCTCCTCAGTGGCGTGTCCGGCAGTGGCCCTGCCCTGTCCCGCTGCTTCTCCCGCGCCCCTGGACTGCGCCATGGAGAGAGGGGGTGGCCGTGGCACTGTCCCTGTCCCTCGGCGGCTTCCCTCCTCTTCCCCTGCATTGCCGGGTGGGCCCGGCTCCTCCACAGGGGCCGGGCCGTGTCAGGGCTGCTTGTGGTGATGCGTTCCTCAACTGTGTCTGCGTGAGGATGCTTGGACGGAAACCGGGTGAGGCTGGGGGCTGCCAGGGCCCACAGAGCGGCCACACTGTGCCTTGAGGCACAGCCCCAGCTCAGATACGAGGGTCCTCAAAACAGCACCCGGCCTGAGGCAAGAGTTTAGAGCTCTGCCATCAGATGCTTGAAAACGGAAGCTGTCGTATGACAGGAAACCCTGCCCTGGAGGCCACCAAATTGTCTGGGCCCTGGGCCTGCCCTGAGCTGCCCTCAGAGGGGTTTCCTGGCCCCTGGCTCATGCACTGGTCATTACTTTCCGGGTTAGAGACTGGGGACAGGAAGAAACCACCACTGCCCGCTCTGTGCTACGTGGGGCCCTGCCTTTCCACGGGGCCTGGCTGAGGTGGGCGGAGGCCATGCCGTCTGGGAGAGGGGCCACCCCGGTTTTCACCCCCAGCATCCTCCCCCAAGGGCGAGTCGGTTGGTGGAGGAGATGGCCATGGAGAGTGTCGGCAAAGCCGGGCGGGCTCCCTTTGAGGCCAGGGAGAGGCCAGGGTGCCTCCTTACTCAGGCCGAGACTGGGTGGAGTTGGGCACCCCTTCCCATGGTCTCCCCACCACCACCGTCGCCTCTGCCCCCTTCCCCCCTCCTCTCACCCTCCCTCCCCTTTGTCACAGCCCCCTCCCCTTTCCTCTCCTCCCCTCTCCATCCTCTCACTCCTGCCTCAGCTCCAGGGGACCCCTCTCCCCCTCCCCCAGGGTGGAGCTGAGAGGGCTCCGCACTCACCCTGGGGGGCGCCTGAGTCCCCCACCTGGCATGGTCCTGAGTAAGGAGGGCTCCATCCTCCCTGGACACCAACACCTGGGCCTCTGACCTGCGGCCCCAGCGGCTCTCCCTGCGGGTGGCCCACACGTCTGTCTGTCTGTGTCTGTCCATCTGCATGTCCCCACCCCCACCAAGAGCAAGCCACATCCGACCTTCTACCTTGTCTCTGCTTCCGTCCAGGACCTTCTACCAGTTTGAGGCTGCGTGGGACAGCTCCATGCACAACTCCCTCCTGCTGAACCGGGTCACCCCTTACCGAGAGAAGATCTACATGACCCTCTCTGCTTACGTTGAGGCAAGAAACCTGCCCCCAGGGCACTCCACCAAAATCACCCGTCCCCCAAGCCTGAGCTGCTTGCCAAGGGGCAGTGAGGGTGCTTGTTAGCCCTGGACAAACCCAGTCAACCCTATTCTCTTCTCAGAAGCCTTCTTAAGTCCTTGAATTAAATCTATGTACTTTTAATGGCTGTGCTCGCAGTTAACTAATGCTGCTACCTTTAGTGTATGGGTTTGTCCTTGGGGTTGCAAGATGGCTGCAGCACCGCCAGACATTGCATCTATCTTCCAGGCAGCACAAAAGCAGAAGCGTCCCATTCCCCATCCCCAGGGTCTCAGGCCGTGACCTCCCTTTGAAGCACAGGAGGAGGCTGGGGGTGTGGGCGTTTCTTGCTGTGCACAGTACTGAGGAATGGGGGCGGGGGTTTGGGGTCGGCAGCCAGCGGGATGGTAGAGACGAAGGCATCCACCCCCTGAGAGCCTAACTACTCCAGCTGTAATATGGGGACCTACCTGTGTGACTGCCCCACGGGATGAGGTTGGCTCAGGCTGAGAAAACACTTGCAGGGCTTTGCCCAGACAAGACACCAGCTTTGTCAGCAGTTATCCCGGAGCTTCGGGAAAACCAAAGAACCGGCTGTTTAAGACAGCACCTCGCTTGCTGTGCAGTCATTTCCTGTGGCGTTTGAGAGTTAAACTGTGGGTGCACAGACAGGGTCCGGTCAGATCCTCACAAACGTTTTGGGGAGTGTGTCACCCCGATTTAATGGTGAGGCAGCTGAGGCCCGTGTCCGGGACACTTGGGGTCCCCGGCAGTGGGTGCCCCGCTGTCTCTCCCTCGTGGCTGTGGTTCGGTGCGGAGGCTCTTGTGCCCCGAGGGGGAGATGGCTAGGTGCGGCTGGAGCCGAGCCCCCGGGGTGTCCTTGGGTACGAGCCCCTCCCTGCCCTCCGCAGATGGAGAACTGCACACAGCCGGCCGTCATCACCAAGGACTTCTGCATGGTCTTCTACTCCCGCGATGCCAAGCTGCCGGCCTCGCGCTCCATCCGCAACCTGTTCGGCAGCGGGAGCCTGCGGGCCTCGGAGAGGTGAGCCTGCAGTGGCGCCCTGGGCGCAGCGGGTACCAGACTGGGCTCTGCGCGGAGCAGTATGTCACGTGGTGCACTCCGGGCCGGCTGGCCCATGAGACGGAGGACCTGCCCCGGTCCCGTCGGGCCTCCGGCTCTGGGGTCCATCTCACTCGGACCGTCAGTGGACGCCGCCGGGCACTTGTGGGGACCCCGATGTCATGTTGGGGGGTGTGAGAGAGCCAGGCTCTCCCCACAGGGCACAGTGGGAAGGCCTGAGGTGTCCACTCTGGGGCCTCCCTGGGAGGTGCTGGTGACCTTCCTCCCCAGGAGCCATGCGGATCTGTGCTATTGGGATTGCTCCCCCCACTCTGTGGGAGAAACTGGGTAAACATGGGGCTGGGCGGGAAGCGGGACTCTGGACAGCACTTCCTGAGGACCTGTGCTAAGCCAGTGCTCTTGGAGGCTGGGGGCACGTGGGGGAGTCGGACACCAGGACCCGCGTCCCTTCTTGCGCTCTGACCTGCATTCTTGGGGGTCACCACTGGCAGCCTTCAGTGAGGCTCCCCACGCACTGTCTCGTGGCCCCTGTGTCCCCACTGCCCTGGCACAGCCGGGAGGAAGGGGGGGTGGGGGTCCTGGGCTGGCCATGGTCCTGTCGTCCAGGAGGTCACCCCGTGAGCATGAGCCCCTCTCCATGAGCAGGTTAGCGGGGAGCCCTTGGCAGAATCAGTGGTCCCAAGAGGAAGGGGGGCCCAGCGGGAGTCTGGGATGGGGACCGTGTACAGGGACTGCATCGCGGGGAACCAAGCACCTCTGCCACCTCGTGCAAGGCCGCTTGGCGTGGGCGGCTGCAGGACTCGTGCCCAGTGTGCGTTTGGTGGTGGTGAGAGTCGGTGCCTGGCCGACGCGGGGCCAGGTGGCGACGTTCCTCCTCCCATCCCCCACCACTCCTGGCAGCAATCGCGTGACGGGCGTGTATGAGCTCAGCCTGTGCCACGTGGCCGACACGGGCAGCCCAGGTAAGCGTCTACCCTGGGCTCTCTGGTCGGGGGTGGGGTGGGGCACCGTTGGAGGTCAGGGAGCCCCGTCCCTGGGACCACCTGGGTGACTTCAGCCACGCTGCCATTTGGGGGCCCCTCACCTGGAGACTCGAGTGCTCACCTCGTACCCCCCGGAGTTGCTGGGGGGCTGGAGGACAGTGAGGGGAGAGAGGAAGGGAGAGGAGGGGCAGCCGAGACCCCGCGGGACACCTGGCTCTGGGGGGGGGTCCTGCCTCCCTTGGGGGATAAGCCTGCAGCTAGGGACACGTCTGACGGGCGTCCGCTCCAGGGATGCAGCGGCGGCGCCGGCGGGTGCTGGACACGTCCGTGGCCTACGTCCGGGGCGAGGAGAACCTGGCAGGCTGGAGGCCGCGGAGCGACAGCCTCATCCTGGACCACCAGTGGGAGCTGGAGAAGCTGAGCCTCCTGCAGGAGGTGAGAGGGCCAAGCCCACCAGGTCGCCACCCCACCCAGGATGGAGCGCGTGGCCCTCGAGCCGCCCGTCACAGGGCTTAGGGCCACATGACGCCACCGGCTAGGATGGGAGGTTCATTCTTTTTTTTTTTTTTTTTAATTAATTAATTAATTTATTTATTTTTGGCTGTGTTGGGTCTTCGTTTCTGTGCGAGGGCTTTCTTTAGTTGCGGCAAGCGGGGGCCACTCTTCATCGTGGTGCGCAGGCCTCTCACTGTCGCAGCCTCTCTTGTTGCGGAGCACAGGCTCCAGACGCGCAGGCTCAGTAGTTGTGGCTCACGGGCCTAGTTGCTCCACGGCATGTGGGATCTTCCCAGACCAGGGCTCAAACCCGTGTCCCCTGCATTGGCAGACAGATTCTCAACCCCTGCGCCACCAGGGAAGCCCGGGAGTTCATTCTTGACCCAAGCGCAGACTGTTGGGCACGTAGATGAGACAAGAAAGGAACAGGGAGGGAAGCTAGTGGGCGGGGCGAGGCCCTTCTGTCGCTCGGGCCAGGACGGCCAGTGTCCAGCAGCGGCACTGACTGCTGACCCGGGGCGCGGGTGGGAAGCGGGCATCGGGGGCCATGTCCACCCTCTGGGCCCTTCCCGAGTCCGCAGCTGCAGCACGCACGGCCCCCCGGAACGCAGCTGCGGGAACACAGTGTCCGTCCCGTTGGCTCACGGCGGCGCACGGGCAGGTCTGTTGGCGCCACGTCACATGCCACAGCCCAGCAGGGCGGCCGGCTCTCCCGGGCCTGAGCAGGCCTGGGGCTCAGAGCAGCCGCCCGCCCTCCCCGCCCTGGCGGGAGCAGAGGCAAAGCTACACTCGTGCTCCTCTGTGCAGGTGGAGAAGACCCGGCACTACCTGCTGCTGCGGGAGAAGCTGGAGACGGCCCAGCGGCCTGGTCCCGAGGCCCTGTCCCCCATCTCCAGCGAGGACTCCGAGGCCCACAGCTCGTCCAGCTCCCCGCTCGCGGCTGCGGGCCGGCCATCGTCCCTGGAGGCTCCCAACGAGAGGCAGCGGGAGCTGGCGGTCAAGGTGGGTGGCAGGTGGGCGGCGGCCATGCTCCTGGCCCTTTCCTGGTGCCAGTGACTTGTCACGGCCACCAGGACCTGGGAGAATGAGTCCGTAGGGTCACCTTGACCCCACCCCCACCCCACCCTACCCACATTGGAACCCGGGGACCTCTTATAGCCTCTACTCCCCCAGGCAGTGACCTGCTCTCTCTTGCATACCTGTGCTGATGGGGAGCTCGCCACCTACACCAGAGCTGGCCTTTCAGCTGCTGGGTGGGCCACGGGGAAGGCCTCCCGCACTTCAGGGGGTGCTGGCCCCACCCCCACCCCCGCCCAGGCCCCAGGCCTGCCCCGGGGGGCTTCCTCAGACCGCCGCATTACCTGGGAGAGGTGAGGGTGCTTCCCACCTTGACCTGGGGTGCCTGGCCCCTCGGCCAGTCTCCCGTGTCCTGGGCCTGTGTCCGTGGCAGAGCCGGGTCCCGGGAGGTCCCTGACCAGGCGTTTGCTCTCCCGGCAGTGCTTACGGCTCCTCACCCACTCCTTCAACAGAGAGTACACCCACAGCCACGTCTGCGTCAGCGCCAGCGAGAGCAAGGTGGGCGTGGAGGGGCCGCCCACGGGGGGGCGGGGGGGGGCGCTGCTGTGGCCGAGAGAGGGAGATAAGGGTTTTCTTAGGAACATTCCTCTCCCAGCCTAAAGGGATGCCTCACAGCTAAGGGGCTGGCTTCCCGGGGCCTGAGGCTGGGGTCCGTGGAGGGCCGGGAGCGAGGGGCCCGCCGGGCCCAGGGGTGTCCACTCGGTGTCGTCCCTGGCTCCCACTCTCCCCGGTCCCCGGCCCTGTCCAGGCTGGCCCTCACCCAGCTGCCTGTGTCCTGGGCTGGCCAAGCCCCCTCTCCTCGGCTTCCTTCCCTCACCTGGGGCCCACCCTGGTCTTGCAGCCCTACACCCACGCCCAAGGCTGGGGTGGCTCTCGTGCTGGAGGCTGGCCCTGGCCCGTGCCGGGCTCCAGGCTTCCCTTCCAGCGCGCGGGCCCATCACCCGTCCCCCCTCAGCCTGGTGGACAGCCCTGCCCGGCTTTCGTGCTCCACACCGGCCTCTCCCTCTGCCCAAACCTCCTCTTGCCGCGGCTGCCAGGCTGCGCACCCTGAAGTCGGGGCTCAGAGGCTACTCCTTCCCCGACCCCCACCCAGCGGTCCTCGCTCCGTCTTTGGGGCTCCACAGCCTCGAGGACCTCCTTCAGCAAAAGGCAGAGCCTGAAGCCCTGGGCGGGGTGGGCCGGGGGACGGTGGGGGCTGGGCTGGGAGGAGAGCCCAGCCCGCAGCTGGAGTGGGGTTGCCCTAAACAGAGGGTAAAATGCAGGCAAAGGTGCCGTGGCAGGGATGTCCCCACCCGCAGAGGGCCCTGAGGCTGTCCCTGAAGAGCCGTCTCTCCTCCGCAGCTCTCCGAGATGTCTGTCACCCTGCTGCGGGACCCGTCCATGTCCCCTCTGGGGGCGGCCACGCTCACCCCCTCCTCCACCTGCCCCTCCCTGGTCGAGGGCCGGTATGGGGCTGCTGAACTGAGGTGAGTGAGCTCCAGGCTCCCGGCAAAGCTTCCACCTGCACAAGCTGACCGACAAAACGGCTGTGACTGGGGCACAGAGCAAGAAACCAGGGCTCGAGGGGCTGCGTGTCTGGGGACAGCTGCGCACTAGGGCAGGGCCGGGGGAGGGGGTCTGCCCTGCCCAGCTGATGCGGCCCTGTCCAAGGTCATTTTCTGCTAAAGCGTAGATTTAGAATACAGTCGTGAATAAAACCAGGAATGGGTCAAAACACTGAACAAAAAGCCCTTTTCAGTGGCAGCTCTCACAAAATACTCAGTGGGAAAAGTGGTGACAGAGCGGAGCCTAGAGGACACCTGAGCCCACCTGACACCTGCCGAGCGGTGTTGGGAGCGGGGCGCACGTTGCTGACAGCGCTCGTGTCTGACCCATCAGGTCGTATAACACCTCAGGCTTTCCAGATTTTCTTCTTGAAAGAAAAAGGCATCAAGCCCTCTGGGCGCCATCCTGAGTCAGGCCTCCTTGGCCACCAGGTCCGTCGCTTGGGCCTGGTGGCTCCAGTGGACTATAGCAGCTCCCTGCACGCACACGGTCCCTGAGGAAGTCGGGTCAGCTTCAATTTAACTTTGGAGACAAGAGATGCGGAAGCCGCTTTCACAGGGGGTGGAGGTGGGGAGCCAGAACATGCCACGGGAGAAGGCGCTGCGTCGGCGTGGACCCTGCCCGCCACACAGCGCGGCGCAGCGGCGGGCCGGCCGGAGGTCTGAGCCAGCGTGGGGGGCAGGCCCAGGCAGGCGCCCTGGCGGTTCTGAGCGGGTAACGCTGGCCGTCGGGAAGCCGGGCCGGAGAGGCACCTTCTGGCAGGAGTGCAGGGGCTTCACTGTGCTTTCCCAGGACCCCACAGCCCTGCTCCCGGCCGGCCAGCCCAGAACCTGAGCCCCTGCCGGAGATGGATTCCAAGAAGTCCCCTTCCCCTGCCCGGGCAACGGAGGCCGACAAGGAGCCCCGGCGCCTGCTGGTGCCCGACATCCAGGAGATCCGGGTCAGGTGCGTGAGGGCCCTTCTAAAGCACCGGCCAGCCCGTTCTGCTCCTGCAAGGACAGCTGGGCCGCCCCTGACCTGGAACGGAGACAGCTGTATGCCGGGGGCCCCCTGACCTAGGACAGGGGACAGCTCTGTGCCGGGGGTCGGGCAGGGCCCCCTGACCTAGGACAGCAGTGGAGAATAAGCAGACATAAAGGGCAGGAGGGTGGACCAGAGCCAGAGCCAGTGCTGGGCGGGGGCTGGGCACCTGGTGGGCAGCTGCAGAAAGATGGTTTTGGGGCGTCCCCATCCCCAGCCCGATCGTCTCCAAGAAGGGGTACCTGCACTTCCTGGAGCCGCACACGGCTGGCTGGGCCAAGCGCTTCGTGGTGGTGCGGCGGCCCTACGCCTACATGTACAACAGCGACAAGGACGCCGTGGAGAGGTTTGTGCTCAACCTGTCCACAGCCCAGGTTGAGTACAGCGAGGACCAGCAGGCAATGCTCAAGGTGCGACGCGGCCGCGGGCGGGGAGGGCGGGAGCCGGGACGGGTCCTCCTCTGCGGGCCCTGCGTCTGCCCACTGCCCGACTGAAGCCGGGCCCATCTGTCACGGACAGGGCCGTTGGGGTCAGCCTCACTGTCTCTCTGCCTCTCATGTCCCGGGGCCACTCTGCCCACCCACGGGGCTTGTAGTCCTGGTGACAACGGCGGTGACGGGTGCGGCAGGCGTTAATCCTCTCCCATTTGATGGCTAACGACAGTCCCCTCTTCCTGGGGACGCCCACAGTGGGTGTCATGGAGCCCTGTAGGGCCAGCGGGGCAGTGGGCCCAGGAGTCCAGCGCCCTGTGCCTGGCTTTGCCCCTGCTCCTCTCTGAGCAAGCGGTGGCCCTGGACGTGAGTAGCCCTGACTCCTGGCTGGTGGCCACAGGGCCCACTGGGCACTGATTCCCTGTGGTGGGGGAGGGGGAGGTGTGAGCTCAGCCCGCCACCCACGCCCACCACGTCGAGGGCTCGGGCCTGAGAGAAGACGCCAGGATTAACGGGCCCCAGAGGATACATCTGGGCGAGCAGTTGAGCCAGGGTCCCCGGGGGAGGGACCTTGGCCTGTGAGGGGTTGACTCATCCCACGGGGACACAGAGCAGTGACAAGGTAGCCTCGGGCATGGCCACGGGGATGACCAGAAGATACCGGCTTCCGGAGGGGAGCCACCGCCTGCAGGGTCAGGACGGGCTGTGTGTGCAGCAGCGCTGCCCCCTCCTCGGGGTCTTCTTTTCTGCTTCCTCATCCTTGATGCTCCCCCTGGGGGGGAGGGCCCTTCCCCCCCACCTGGGCCCCGGGGGAGCGGCGACCGCCCCTAGCTGACCACAGGAGGCCTGGCGCCCCTCACGGCAGCGCCCCTCCACAGACCCCCAACACGTTCGCCGTGTGCACGGAGCACCGGGGCATCCTGCTGCAGGCCAGCAGCGACAAGGACATGCACGACTGGCTGTACGCGTTCAACCCCCTCCTGGCGGGGACCATACGGTATGTCCTGCCTGCAGAGGGAGGGGCGCGGTCTTGAGGACGTGGATTCTCGTTTGCGGGCCGTCGCTCCTCACCGAGTGTGTAAATCCCCGACTTTCAGAACCGCCACTCAACCAGGGCGGGCATCCACGTCGGGGACATGCTGCACCAGGCTTGGGGACAGCCAGGCCCCCGGTGGACGGAGCCCCGCCCCTAGTCAGTGACTCACAAAGGAAGCTGGGGCGGTGGGGGGGCCGCTCCCCGCGAGTCGCAGGGACAGGAGACAGAGGTTACGGCTCTTGGGCGACCGGGGAACCAGAGACGCTAATGCCGGCAGCCTGGCGCCCTGACCGCCACGTCTCTCCCACCCCCGGCAGGTCCAAGCTCTCCAGGAGGAGGTCTGCCCAGATGAGGGTCTGAGCCGAGCCCTCCTGGACAGCCCGCAGGCCCGGCCCCGCTCTCCCACCCTCGTCACCATCTGTCGTGTCATCCGCCGCCCAGCCCTGCTCCCAGCAGACAGCCAACGCGCCCCCTCCTCCTGGGGATGCCCACGCTGGGCCCCAAAAGACCTCTTCTGGCCGGGGACCTGCCACATGACCTGTCGTGCTCCCAGCAGAGGCCGCGTTTGTTGTCCTTTCTTCATTCAGAACGCACCCTGGGTGGGAAGAGCTGGGAGACGCCAGGAAGGCCAGAGGACAGGAGCCACGGGGGCATCGCTGCCGTTCTAATATTTTTTTAAGCATAGACAGACTCTAATTAATATACGTCAGTTAGTGACACTGAAACAGCCCACTCGGAAGTTAACTGTAAGACTGTGTTTTATTTATAAGTGTGCATCTCTAATGCCCTCACCTAGACCCGCAGGGCTCAGGTGGACCCACCCCGCTTGCTCCCAAACGCACCTCCCAAGCTTCTTGGGGACACACAAGGCGGGGCAGCCGCCTGGGAAGACCACAGTGAGGTGGTGTCTGGACAGGCCGGGCGCCTCCTGGTTGGCACCACGGGGCACCTGCCCGGCCTGAGCTGAGGCCTCTGCCCAGCGGCACGTGGGGCAGGCCCTGGTCCCAGGGCGTGTGTGTGTGTGCGTGTGTGTGCGTGTGCGTGTGTGTGTCTGGGGGGTCTGATGCCTGAGGTCTGAGCAGCACAGAAGGTGGGTGCATCCTCCTCGCAGGAGGGAGGACCCACGTCTCACCTGGACAGCAGCTACCTGAGGTGTGACTGTCCCGGTGACGCCGGCAGCCCGTCCCTGGCGGCATGTGGGACAGCCCGTCCCTGGCGGCATGTGGGGCAGCCCGTCCCTGGCAGGATGTGGGGCAGCCCGTCCCTGGCAGCATGTGGGGCAGCCCGTCCCTGGCAGGATGTGGGGCAGCCCGTCCCTGGCAGGATGTGGGGCAGCCCGTCCCTGGCGGCATGTGGGAGGTGAGGCAGCAGGCGCCTGGCTGGCAGCTGTCCTGGTGGGAACCAAACGGGAGAGTGGTCAGGGTCCCACCGGGAGTGTCACGTGTCCAGGCCGGCTGGGTGCGGGGAGCTGTGTTTAGAGGTGGTCCAGGCAGTGAGGGGCTTCTGGTGCGGCGTCTGCAGCCACTGTGAGACCCGGGGTGAGCTCCAGGGAAGGAATCGTGACTTCCCCTCTTTGCCCCAAGAGCGGAGTTTCTGAGTCCTGGTGAGAAAACTCCATGGGGTCAGGTGAGGGCAGCCAGTGCTGGGGTCATCCGTCATCAAGGGGGCTTCCTCCTGTATCCGAGGGTGTCACCCTTGTCTTGTTCTGCCCTCTCGTGACAATATCCATTTCGTCCCCTTTGCAGACCCCATGCCTGAGGGTTGCCCGGGACCGGGCAGGAGCCAGCCCCGGGCTCAGAGTCTGGTCGTGTGTCATGCCCAGGCCATAAGCCCTTCAGAGAAACCACGGGGTCTTCAGTGACCTGTTCCTACACTCAGAGGCACATTCAGCCACCGCAGCACAAGACCCGCCCCTGCCACGTCCCCCAAGAGGGGGTGACGGAGGGTTCACATTCCAGACTGAAGTCAAACACTGTCCAGAAACCAGCAGGCCTGTGCCCCCCGCACAGGGCTTCCCTGGAGGCAGAGGCCAAGACGCAGAGGCAGAGGGGACAGCACACTCTGGAGCAAGCGCTGACGCGGGCCACCACGATGGCCTTGAGGGCAGGGAGGAGAGACAGGTGGGGTGAGTTGCTCTAAGATGGGTCAGTTCCGAGAGCCCCTCCTTCCTGTGGGGAGATTGGAGGTGCAGGGCCAGGCCACAGCCACTCAGGTCAGCCAGCCTGAGGCGGAGGCCTCCGGAGAGTCTGAGGCCCTCTCACCCCGGGCACAGGTGTCTGGGGCCAGCCAACCTGCAGAGCACCCGCTGAGTGGGGCAGGGGGCCCCCGGGAGGGTTTCTGGGAACCGCCCCCAATTCAGGGGCCTCCACGGCCATGGAGGCCTCCAGGGCTGCTTCGTCTGGGCCTTGCGCCGTCTTGGCAGTGACTCGGAACCAGGTGTGGCCCACCTGGTGGCCCCTACCCGCCACCACTTCCTCCTCTCAGGCCAGCTCCACGTGAGGGCCTGGGTCCGAGAATTCCGTGTGTAGTCAGGAAAGCTGCTCTCTCGTGCCCGGTGTCACGTAAGCCAGAGACGAGTGGTTTGGGACTCAGTTGCCACATCTGTGACATGGGAGGCTGGTCTGGAGGCCCGTGAGGGTCCTCAGGTTGTGGGGTGCAGACAGGAAAGTCAGGTCTGGCTGTGGCTGCTGTGTCCTGCGAGTGGGGAAGGAGAGAAAGATCCAGAAAGCCGTCTCCCTTGGACGGGTTTCGGTTCAGTGCTTGCTGCCGCCCAGGCTGCAGCCTCATTGTGCTTGAGGCCGTGCTCACCTGGAGAGGGCTCTCTGTCCCCCAGGGAGGGGTGGGCTCCTTCCGCTGTGGGCCTAGTAGGAGCCCCAGGGAGGGAGATGCTGGGCTCCCGGCTCCAAAGCGATCCGGCTGGTGCCCAGGGCCAGCTACTGAGACGCTCGTAAGCTTCAAGGCCTCTCTGTTCTGAGTAATCATTGTCTCACTCACCGACAATGCGCGCGCGCGCACACACACACACACACACACACACACACACACACACACACACCCCAGGGCGGCTGCAGTGACGTGGTCTCCCGGCAGTCCTCGTCCCCCCTCGACACCTCTGGGGCGGATGTCGCAAGGCACTCGGGGAGGGTCCCCAAACGTCGCCCATGCTGCAGGCATGGGCAGGGTGGCCACGCTGGTCCTCCGTCAGCTCTCCTCAGTGTGGGGACCCCGCAGGCACCCTCCTGTATCCCTGGGGCTGGGCCACGTGTTCCCCCGGGAGAGACGACAGGCTGTGGCTTCTTCCCAGGTCCGTGCGTCCTGCGGCCAACTGTCCCCTGAGTTCCCCTGTGGCTTGTACATACGTGGTTGTGTGGCACACCCCAGCCCCTGCACTGTAACTGCCATCCTGATGTAATGACTCTAGTTCCCTGATGTCCGAAACCCAAGTGTTAGGCTCTAGGCTCCTGTACGATGTGTGTGCACTTAAGGCTCTGTCCAGTTAAGAAATAAACATGGCTCTTCATGCAACACCAGACCCGCGGGTCTCCGCCTGGCTTTACTGATGCGTTAGGTCTGTTTGCTGGGGCCTGAAATAGCCACAGGGCCAGGTGTCCAGCGCTGTCTGGAGACAGCACGCATCTCCCAGTGGCGAGGTGGGGAGGGGAGAGAGCCTTGAGGGGTGGGAGGTACAAGGTGGTGTTTATCGTGGTCGCATCCAGCTGCTTCCCTCAGTACCTGGCTGCACCTGTCTGAACAGCTCCAGGTGCCCTTAGGTATGCCACCCCTGTACTGCCAGCCTCATGCCCAGGCAACCCCGTCATTTTATATGGTCAGCGTTACCTGACGGGTGCTGGTTAAGCCCCTACGCTGTCCCCGTGCTGGCCACTTAAGGAACGAGCGCCGCTAACCTGCTCCAAGGACCTTTTCTTGGTCCCCTGGCTGCGCCCTCACAGCCCCCTGTGCCGGAGGGGGGGGAGAGGCTGACTGACCGCGCGGTGCCCAGCCCAGCCCAGGGCCCTCCAGGGAGGAGGCGCAACGGGAAAGAGGTCAGTGGGAGGCCAGAGAGTCCGCTGCGCAGCCGAAGGAGGCCTTGGGGCTGCCCTGCTTCTCCGCGGGGAGCGCCCCAGGCGTGGGCTGCTCCGCACCTGCTGCGGTACGTATAGGAATCAGGGCAGCCCGCTGTGGGCAGCGGGCGTTAACCGTAGCCTGGCTACAGGGCGAGAGGGGCTGCCCTCTGCTGAGGCCTCCAGGCACAGCCCTGGAGCTTTCTCTGCACCCCTACTCCTCCTAGACCCTCCAGCCCCTGATGGTCTAAACTGCCCATTTTGAAGGCAGGAAGTGATCAAGGGTAGTGGTGGGAGGGGCGCTGGGGGGTGCACTCCAGGGGCTGGTCTCGTGGGCCTGCAGCGAGGGCCGGGCTGCCCTGCAACACCTCTGGCTTCCTGGGCTCCAGACACCAGGCCCGACGTCCAGGTTGGCTCCAGCAAGAGCTCCCCCATCTCCGGGCCGCTGCCCCTCCCTCCTCCCAGCACACTCCCACCCGTCCTGGCTGCGTGGGGTGTGGGAGCCCGGCTGCGGCGAGGGAGGGGTCTTTTGGAGAGGAGTCCGGTGCCTGCGGAGAGGGCCCAAAAGCACCCCTCCAGCTCCCAGAGCTTGATTTCTAAACCCATCCTCCGATCAAAGGAACCAGCACTTCCTGGAGAAATGGCTGCTTCTAGGGCTGGGGCTGGAAGTACACAAGGTGAGCCTGCAGCATCTTGTAGCGCCAGGAAGGTAGGAAAACCCCCCAAACACCCACACTGGTGGGAGTATGTCAGAGGGACAAGGACCCAGCTGAAAAGGTTCCCCAGTGGCCGAGACTGGAACAGTCTGGGCAGCAACAACAACAAAAATCTACTCACAGACTTGTGGTCACCAAAGGGGAAGGTGGGGGAGGGTAAATTAGGAGTTTGGGATTAACAGGTACACACTCCTATATATGAAACAGATCATCCAAAAGGACCTGCTGTGTATCACAGGGAGCTCTACTCAATATCCTGTAATAACCTGAATGGGAAAAGTATCTGAAAAAGAATAGATACGTGTATATGTATAACTGAATCACTTTGCTGTACACCTGAAACTAACACAACATTGTAAAGCAACTAGACTCAACATAAAATAAAAATTAAAAAAACAACAACAGAGGGCTTCCCTGGTGGCGCAGTGGTTGAGAGTCTGCCTGCCGATGCAGGGGACGCGGGTTCGTGTCCCGGTCCGGGAGGATCCCACGTGCCGCGGAGCGGCTGGGCCCGTGAGCCATGGCCGCTGAGCCTGCATGTCCGGAGCCTGTGCTCCGCAACGGGAGAGGCCACAGCAGTGAGAGGCCCGCGTACCGCAAAAAAAAAAACAAAAAAAAAAACTGAGTCAATAACCCACTTTATAAAATAAATATCCACGCTGATAAAAATAAATTATCGCATAAATAAATGAATGAGGTAGAAGAAACTCCTGTGTGGAAGAATTCCAATTGACGCAGATACTCTGCTCTCAAGGAGGGGAGCCTATCCCATCCTCCTTATAGGTGTGGACCACTCTTAGTGACTTCCTTCCAAAGATGGCATGATGGAAAGAGGGGAAAAAGGGCAACTTTCCAGTGGAGACACCTGACATGCACTACCTGAGGCAGGTGACCGCGGTCAACACCCACGGTGATCTATCATGCTGCTAGTACGTACACTGATATGACGAGAAGCAAATAGCACTTTACCTCTGTGTCTTCCTCCCCCCGCCCACGATCCCAGTCTAATAGTGAAAAAAGGCCAGATAAATTCTAATAGGGGGACATCCTACAAAACATGTGCCCAGGTCATCAACAACGAGGAAGTCTAAGAAACCGTCACAGCCAAGGAGAGCCCAGGAGTCGGGACAGTTAGATGTGACGTGACATCCTGGATGGGATGCTGGGACATGAAAAGCACATTAGGTAAAACTGCACTATAGGAACGAACTATGACGGAGTCAATAACAACAGTCGATACTGGCTCGTTGATCGCAGCAAACGCACCACACAGATGTGAGATGCTAACAATGGGGAAGCGGGCACAGGCACGTGGGAATTATCTGTACGATCTTCTCAACTTGTCTACAAATCTAAAACTATTCTAAAAGTAAATTCTACAGAAGAAAGACAGAAACAGAAGGAACAGTAAATAAAATGGCAGAACAAAGCCCTATCATGTCAATATCCACTGAGATGTAAATGGATCAAATACGCCAATTAGAGAGCCTGGCTGGATGGACATGAAAACACTAGTCCATGCCGCCTTTCACAAGCCGACTTCAACCCTCATCAGACAAGGAGGCTGAAAGTAAGAGGATGGAGAGAGATACGCCGTGCAAACATGAACTAGAGTCAGAGTGGCTATGTTCATATCAGATATAGACTGCGGAGCAAAGAGATTACCAGGGACAGAGAGAGACATTACACATTGATAAGAGGGGTTAAATGCACTAAGAAGACAGGGCAGTCCTTCATATACGTGCACCAAACCGCACAGTCGCACTGGAACCCTTCCCCGTTTCTACAAGTCTTCCTAGACTTGTATAGCTGGACGAGCTTCTCCCTCACCCCCTTTCCCTGGACCCCCCAGAAAAACACAGGAAGCTCTCTGGGAGGAGCTGCCCGTGGCCCCTAGCACACACCGGCCCTTTGTGCCACATCTCCCCACCGCTCAGACAGCCAGTGCTTCAATCGCCTGCTCCAATTCTCTGTCAGACCATCACTCTGAAGATGAAAGTGTCTTCTCTGGCCTGAAGAAACGGAACTTGACCATACAAACTGGTGCAAACCCTGCTGGCACTCTGAGCGCTTGCATCTACCACTGGGCCCGCAAAGCCCAGGGCAGGGTCAGCACCTGCTCCTGGTGGGACCCATTTGTGGCCACCTGGGGCCATGGGGCATCAATCTGACTTGTCAGCCCTGTGGGAGCCACCGCCAGCTGGGAACCTACCCCCAGCCGTCTGCAGTCTCAGTCTCTCTCGTTGATGGACACACAGCCTTTGTCGGCACTCTGTGCCTCAGCGGGTGCAGGAGGCCCCTGTAGAGATTCAGCCCATCTCTGCGTGGCTGCAGTGCCCACATGTCCCCTCATTTCATGGGCCCCTGTGGCCACCTTAGGCGAAAGCACCGGGATAGCCATTTGCCAATCCCGATCACCTCTGATCCTGGAAGGGGTTCTTCTGATGGGTATCGAAATGCCCTAGTTTAATGCACCCCTTAAATTTCCATAGTGATTTGCGTGGGACCGTCTCCTTAACAGGTCAGTTTTCTGTTGATCATCTACCTGATCGTATGGCCAGGCCATTGGCCACCACCCGCGAGTCAGTAAAAACTCAAACGCAGAGGCAAACCGCATGCAATTCAGCCGGCAGAGCTGATTCGTTTTTACCTTCTTTGATCACATGGTGACCATGCAAGCAGGATGCTGCCCATCCCCCTGGAACTGCCGTCTGTAAACCAGGCAGCCCTCTGTTGGTCAGCTGAGAGCTGTGTATAGGGCACCGTCCATGCAGTAGTGGCGTCTGGCGGCTCCTCAGGGGTTCCAAAGTCAGTGCAAGGGGGAAACAGGCTCCCTGATCATGGATATTCCTCTGGGAGCATGCACCTGTATAAATAAGTAAATAAAATTTCCATCTTATTGGGGAGCTCTTCCGGTCACGGACCTCCCCACTGGCGGTTTCTTTGGCATCACTTAGGATGTTTCAGAATTACTTTATGTCCCAGGGTAAGAGGAGTGATCTCAATCAAAGCCCAATAGCTGACCAATCATCTCAGACGGAAATGTTCCGGTCCAGCATCCCAGTGGTCCCCGCTGGGTGGCGCTCACTGACTTTTACCCTAAGGCCCAGTCAGTGCTCCACATGGGGCAGTAGCTCTTTTGCCTTATAGTTCAATTTGTCCTTACTGCGCTCCAGCTTCTACCGGACATAATGAAGACGGTAATCCCCTTTCGTCCATCAGGCGTCCTATACTATTTCATATTAATAACCTCTGTGGGCTGGACAATCTCATTGACCCCCACTTAGAACTCCCGATCAATGTTGGCTGAAGCGTGGGTTTACACGCCTCCTGTTACGGGATTAGGTAGGGGATGCCGTCCCCAGTCAGACACAGTACATATCCCCAGAATACGTTCTGCTACAGCAGATGCACCTCCCCTGCAGTCTGTTCAAGCATTCCAATTTTCATCCAAAGTTTCACTTTAGTCTCATCAACTCTTGCGTTCCTTTCTCCTCCTAAGATCTAATGTTCGCTTCTATTGGGACTTCGCCCACATGTTTTGGAAACACAGGGCATGGGCTCTAGGTCAAGGGGTCCCAGAAATGGGTCACCTCCGAGTTGCCCCCACCTTCCCACGAGCTTCTGAAGATCTAGAACCAAGAGAGATGCTTTTGCCCACTAAAATCATTTTTATTTTCCCTTAGAAGGTGAGGGCTTCCAAGTTATTCCATTTGTGGGAAGTGTAATTACAGTATCTTGTTGTCGCAAACAGGGTAATAGAATAATGCAGCCCCACAGCAAGAATTTTGTTTTGTCTTCTAGAATAATTCTGATGTTCTTCTCTTTCAGTGTTAATGCTATCCCCTAAGTGATCAAACAACATCTCAAATGGGGCCCTGATAGAATTATAATTCTTGGGATAGAGTTTTATAAATGT